AAGGTGAAATTTATGAAAAATAAGGCTTTTTAAAAAAAAAAACCCACACAAATACATGTTATATTGCACCCCATAAACAAAATCATGCAATGAAAAAAAGCAGTAAACCACCCCTTTAAAACATGTATAAAGTAAACAAATGTTTCAAACAGATTAAATTGCAAAAGAACTGTAAAGAACAATATTTAACACTTTACAAAGAGGTCCTGTTAGTTAACATTTGTTAATGCATTAACTAAGAATAAGCAATACATTTGATACAATAGTTGTTATTCTTTAGTTAATACGTAAAAATACAACTGTCCATTCTTAATTAATTTTATCTCAGGTCCAGACCTAAACAACATTAAATTAATAACTTTTGGTTTTAATAATGTATTAGTAAATGTTGAAATTAACTTTACCTCAAGTTAATATTAGAAGTATTTTTCATTGTTCATGTTAACTAATGGTTAACAAATGGAACCTTATTGTAAAGTGCTACTTAACAATAATAAGGAATATTTTCAATCAAAATTTAGGGCATGTTTTAGTCCTGATTAATAAGTAAAAATGTTTAACTGCAAAGAAATGTTTGAAAACAAATAACTTAATAATTATTTAAGTGGATGACAACAGGATTAATACAAGGGCACTTACATTCTCTTCTGTTTGAGGACTCGCATGGCTTTCTGTTTCACCATGTTCTAGAAAAGAAGCAGAGAAATAGACTACATGATTTCTTTCAATGTCCTGCGTGCACTGTCAGGGCAGATCTTCATACACTGAGTGCTGTGTGTCGCTTTGTTGACAACACATATGGCTGAACATTGATTTTTGGTTGTTTTTTTAAGTAGAAAAATATTTCTTAAGTAAGATAATTGACATCAGACATTTGCAGATATTTAAAACTAGCATATAAAAACATCTCACCAGGTCTGAACAATGCCAAACACCATTGGTGCTTGTGTCTCAGAAAATTGTGACACCTGGCTTGAATATGTGCAAGTATGAATGGAACTTGAGCTATAGAAAAATTAATGATTTTTAGCAAATAACATCTGAAATTTCAATCTGTTCCTCACACTAAGTGCACACACATATATATATATATATATATATATATATATATACAGTATATATATATAGCAACAAAATCATATGGATTTAAAATACTTGATCTTAAGTTATATGGAGATTAAATGCTGTTATTTTATAGTAAATGAAACAGTAAAGGAATTGTTCACTTAATTTTATTCTATCTAAACAGAAATCTATAATTCCACTTGGGTAAAGTCTAAGTCGAATTTTACCTTTGATGGGCCATCCTTCATTTTCTTCATCTGATCTTTGTATTTCATCAGTTCAGCATCAAGTCTGGCTATCTTCTTGTCAATGGACTCTGCCCGCGAGTCGACCTAGAATTTAGCAAGCCAAAGAAAGACATTATATAGTATATAACATACATGTATAATTAACTCAGAAAATTAGAGGATACCAGCCATAATATTAAATGTAGAATAACATGGCATCCAGTGATAGGTCAGAAACCAACAGGACTGGTTCTCTCTCACACACACACACACACACACAAACACACACACACACACACAAACACAAACACACACCTACACAAGACTTTTGCCACCACAACTTTCAGTACATATGTTGTGTATTTCAAAACACCAACCATGTCAACAACTGTAAAAACAACATCAGAAATGGATCATGTGATGTTTACCTATTATGGACAGCGTCTGTTTTACAACATGACACAGCAAAACATATTTCAATCACTCAAAACAAATAACATATTTAAATGTACAGGCATAATACTATGAATAAATACAATTCAGTGAAATATTTAAGCAAAAATGAAGCCATTTCAGCGTTCAGGACAAACAAAGTTCTTTTGTTTCCTAGTCTCAAAAGTTAAACAGAACAAACACATACACCTGATATACAGTCCGTGAGGTTCGGTGGTGGTCCTTTTGGTTTCCCTCGTCCGAAGATACGATTCATCCCGACACTATGTTAAACAAATAGGCTTAATTAAAAAAGAAGAAAACTGTATATCTTGTAGATCTTGCTTCGCCCGACAACAAAAGGGAACCCGGAAGTACTGACGTGATCATTACGTCAAGGGGTGTGTTAAAGACGCCTCTTTAGCGACATTTTTTTTTATTATTATAATTAATAATATATTAATGCTACAAACAATAATAATACAATTATAAATATTCAATTAAAAATATAATAAACCACATAAAGAGTACAATACAATAATAAGTGCCTAGCCCTTTATCTATTTTTTTTTTTGAGTCAACAATAGGGGGATACCGTACATTCATAAATAACACTTGAGTCCTTAAACAATTAAATAAAAAAAATTGCATCTTGCATCAAAAATCAAGTATCTTTTTCTATCACGTATCTCATTAGCGACCGTTTCTATGGGCCCGATAAGTTCTCGCCCGAAGAACCATAGAAATATACACTAGACGTCACCTTGGCTACGGCAGTTCATTGGAACGAATGCGTCAATAGAGCCGCCATCTTGAAACAGGGGAGCCCCTCCACTTTGTCTATGCCAGAGGCGAAACTCTGGTGCTTTTTTGTGATCAGCCACTAGGTGGCGCTCATAGGTGCCACTTCGGTAGCGCGGCTGCAATTTTGGGGTGAAAATTCCAACTGGAGCCACTGGACAACGGCACAAATAACAGTTTTTTTAGGTAGTTTTTTTGTTGCATTAGTGAGTTTTACCATTTTATGCAACTTTACTACTATTATTAGTTACCAACTCCACTAGGCCTGAAATATGTATTAATCCCCTGGATCATGCTACAAACATGATGATCTTATAGAACATGAATGATGCATTTTTGTGTCCGTTATCCTATAATTGCCACTTTGGAAAGTGGCTGTTTTTTGTTTTGTTTTTTGTTTGACATAGTCTTGCTTTAACGGTCATTAATATAAGATAATACTGCAAAAAAAAAAAAAAAAAAAAGTAGTTTACTGTAAAGCTGTTCTATTGCTGTCCAACATTTACATTTGAGTACAATTACATTTATTTATTTTATTTTTTTATTTATTTCATTTAATTGATAACTTATTTTTGTAACATGTACCTCCTGCTGGAAATGGTCTAACGTTATAACTTTATGAACTGATATCACTTTATTCTTACCTGTCACAATTAATGTGGAGAGTAATGATACAATTAATTAATTAAATCCTTGAACTTCCCTGTCTCAAGTTTTATGTGGGGGGAAAAGCCTGGTTAAATAGCAACTTCTTTTTAACTGCTATAACGTTAACTTTTGTGAGTAAAAATAATCACATAATTATCTCAACCTAAAAATGACCTCTGCACTTATATGTATATATGTGACTGCCGAGTCGCTTTCACCCCAAAATGGCGGATGCATAGGGCTGCTGGGTGCTGGTGTTGCAATGGAACGTTCTATTGGCTTTTTTTCACTTCTTTGCCCGTTCGAAGGTGTGTCTGTGACTCCGCATTCTACACAGGATCAACGTCGTTCGATGTCACCGCCATATTGGACCGGGCAACTTGCTATAACTCTCAGAGGTGGACTGAAGGTCTATGATGTACCAGAGAATGTCTAATTGACGGGCTCTGGTTGTACAGTAGGTTCAGTCTATAGACCTTATGCACCAGAGAAACCTGGGCGCAGATCTTTAGAATATTGTCTTTGAACTTCCGTTTTTGCGGTCGCTCTGTACCTCTATGGTATCGCATTCGAGGAGTAATTAGCTGGTGAAGTGGATTTACTTATTGTAGAGTTAACAAAAGTTATCATGAGCATTGTAATGTTTATCATAAGCATTGTAAAGCAGATGTCTTAACAGATGTCGACCGTTTTTTACAAGCAGTTCATTCAAACCTATGCAAGATTGCTGTGAAAATACAGACCGGAAGTTAAAAGACAACAGCTGTGTCCGAAATCTCCCACTACTCACTATATAGTGGGCTATATAGTGAGCTCGCCATTTTGTAGTGCTGTCCATATAGTGATGATTGTTATACCCTATATAGTCCACTCAATGTATCCCAGAATGCATTTTGAAAAGTAGTGTACAACCGATGGTCACTAACCCAAGCCCTGAACGTAAAAAAGACGGATGGTGATGGTGAGCTCACTATATAGTGCTCTACTCCCTACCCCCTACATATTTTGGTCTCATCTGACCACATGACTTTCTCGATCATCCAAATGGTCATTGGCAAACTTAAGACGGGCCTTGACATGTGCTGGTTTAAGCAGAGGAACCTTCCGTGCCATGCATGATTTCAAACCATGACGTCTTAGTGTATTACCAACAGTAACCTTGGAAACGGTGGTCCCAGCTCTTTTCAGGTCATTGACCAGCTCCCCCCGTGTAGTTCTGGGCTAATTTCTCACCTTTCTTAGGATCATTGAGACCCCACGAGGTGAGATCTCGCATGGAGCCCCAGTCCGAGGGAGACTGACAGTCATGTTTAGCTTCTTCCATTTTCTAATGATTGCTCCAACAGTGGACCTTTTTTCACTAAGTTGCTTGGCAATTTACCTGTAGCCCTTTCCAGCCTTGTGGAGGTATACAATTTTGTCTCTAGTGTCTTGGACAGCTCTTTGGTTGGATTATGTGTCTCACAGTGGACATTTCAGACCCCTCCATGATATCTAAGTGGGAGAACTTGCAAAATAGCAGGGTGTTCAAATACTTATTTTCCTCACTGTATATAAGTATATATTAGGGGTTACTATTATGTGTATGCTCTGTTGTTCTATAGGTTTTGTAATTTGGGAAAATAGTGATGAAGCCAAAAAGAGTCCCGTGATGCATCAAATACAATAACATTCATTGACAATGATAAGACAATAGTAATTTAACACACTTCTTTTGCACCTGGCTTGTTCCACAAACATTGGGATGATGTTTCATTTACACTTAAAAAATACATACATATTCAATAAAAGAAGAGTCAGTATATAAATTAAAATGATAAAGGCAGACCATTTGCTCATGTTAATTTATTAGTAGTAAATTAATCTTAAATTTGTACAAATCTACAAGTCCTACTTTGACTTGACAACAAGGCACAATAACTATTTCAATTTCACTGAATAATTTGTTAATGGCAGTGACTTGATGATTTTTACATCCTTTGGATTCGCTTGTACATTGGGACCAGAAAAAAAAGAGTTTCAATAAAATTAAATGTACACTCATTTGCCATAACTAAAGTCATCTAGCAGATTAAAAAAAGAAAGTTTAAAAAATATTTTGATATTTATTCTTGTTGTTTGCTATGGACATTTTCTATTCTGTGTTAAAGAGTCTTAATTTCTTAATACAGATGATGGAAATATATGTCTTTTAATCAAAGCATGTGTATTAAACAAACCATGTGTATGTGTGTGTAAATGCATTAATAAAGAGTTACTTCATAAATCATCTCCTCCATTCCAGATGTATTTCACGGTATTTTCCACAATCGATCATTATCCTACATTTATGTCTAAAGTACGTATTTCTACGAAATAAATCAAGTTTATAACTTTTCCATCATTCATATTGATTCTAGCCTCTGTTTAAGACATTAGAGATGCTTTCTGGAATGTTATGGAATTCATCTGATTGTCCTCTTTCACATTACACCACTTTAAGGAGTGGTCTATCTAATGAACATGCACATACACACTCTCACGCACACAAAAAAACCTCTCACCTTGAACACTGAAAGTCTACATTAACGTCAAAGGGCTCTGTGTTTAAGACTCCACAGAAATCTAACCAAAGATCACTCACTTTGAGAAAGGCAAGAGAGTTCAAATATCCCAATATAGAAATACATATATATATATAAAAAGTACACATGGCGACAAAAGAGAACGATAAAGCAACTATCTCTGAAAGTGCACATCAAATAAGACCATTGTCCCTGACACCTCTCCAGAATGCTCTCCCCATATCCTCAGAATCCTTCCACAGGTCGGCTGAAGAGAGAAGCTAGAGTCAAAGGCAGTGTAGAGAGACATCTTGCAGTAAGAAAATTGTTCAGTCTTTCATTTACTTCCACTGCGTTTTGAAAAGGGCTCACACACAAGGCAGTTCAACATCTGAAGATCGACAGTAAAATGCAGTGTCTTCTCGCTGTGCGGCTAGTGCCACGCCACTATCAGGAATTTCAAAGCAAAGAAGCCAAATTTGTTTTTATTCTGGTAGATGATGAAAAAGTACCACTTCAGGTGATGGTGCAAATGAAGGAAATTACTGTACAATCCTGTCCCTGACTTAGGGCTTTTACAGTCACCGTGGGTTGGAGGAGCAGATCAGATGAACGGGGCTCCGAAGCACTTGAGGCACCACTGCACACCGTTGCTAGGTGGTCTGTCAATGGGGGATAGGACTTTAAGCTGTTCTGGGCTGAGCTCATTGTATGCAAGACGGTATTCACGATTGAAGGCTTCTGTGAGGGAAAAACAAAGTTGAAAAAAGATAGTTAAGACGTGAATCTCATCGAATAAGGATATGAGTTCTATAGGAAATTCTATTTGACAGAAGATTTGAAAAACATTAAGATTTTTTCTTTTTTAATGTGACAGCTTTTTGACAATTAAGCACAATTTCCCCAAATATTCTCAATCTAATGCAGAAATCAATCTTATTTTCAGTAATGGAAATAATCTTGAATTTTAAAACATAATCAGTAAAAATGAAAAATTAACAGTAAAAATGACTAATTTAATCCAGTAACTAATAATAACGAGATATGAATACTTAATGTACTTTATAAAAAAAAATATTTTATTAATTTCTAATTGTTTTCACATTACATTAATGAGAATGAAATTTATTTGCAGTCTAAAAAACAAATTCCGTTTCAATGCAAAATATTGCATCTCAATGCATCTTAATGGTCCTAAACATATATTTCATATTCTTTATGTAAATACAACTTTTATCTTTCTTTTGGCATGTTTTGAGAGATTAATAAGCACTTAAATTAATTTAATGACTGTAATGAAATCACTTTTATGTGAAATTAAAGACCAGAATTTACTTACCAACATCAATGTTCTCCTTTCCTAAGGCAACAAGTGACAGAAACAAGATTTCCCTATAGATACTCCTGGACATAAAGAGAAGAGTTAATTAGAACACAAGGTCCTCATACACTACTATATAACAAAATTATTGCAAATTAGTTAGACCTTGTAGATCACAAACAACAGGATTCTTATTAAGCTGCATATTCAGCGGTGAAAACTCTTGGGATAGTTTTAGAATGTTATTGGATATGACAATGTTAATATATTTGGTCTTGGTGGACTAGATCAACTTTGCAAACTACTGCTGTTATTGTGGTTGCAGAAGAGTGATTATCATAGAAATGCGTTAAACTACCGTTCTTTGACTACTGTTACAACAGACTGATGGAAGTTCTGACAGTTAAGTTCCCGGATGTGCCGGTTGTGCGCATGGCCGAAACGAAGGCTAGATGTCACTGCTCTGTTTCACTTTGTAAATCTAACCAACAATGCCAACCCTACTTAAGTTTTCATGGATTCCCGACTGAATTGAGTATAGAAGTGGATTAAAGCGGTTCGCCGGGATGAAAGTCCAAACTTTAAAATAAAACAAGGTAGCGCATTTGTTTGTTCAGGTGAAATACTGCATTATAGTGGTTGTATTGGCCCTTCACAGGTATTTTAATAGGTAAAAAGTAGTAGGTGAGTTATAATCAGTCAGATTTAATCCTCATGAATATAATCGACTAATTTCAGGGCAGAAAAAACCTTTCAATCAATATGTAGAGGCTTCAATCACTTTTTGGCAGGTGAAATAGTAACTTACTGCATTATAATGGTTGTATTGGCCCTTTACAGGAATTTAATAAGTAAAAAGTAGTAGGTGAGTTATAATCAGTCAGATTTAACCCTCATGAATATTATCAACTAATTTCAGGGCAGAAATAACCTTTTAATTAATAAGTAGAGGCTTTAATCACTTTTTGGCAGGTGAAATTCATGCATTATAATGGTTGGATTGGCCCTTTACAGGTATTTTTAATAGGTAAAACGTACTGGGTGAGTGATGTTTATTTGGACGTTATGTCTGTTTGATCCACATAAAAGCAACTGCATTCGTAAAGAGAATGGGCGATACATCTTTAACACGCTGCGCGCAATCCCGCAGCCAGCCATTAATGTTCGGCGGACCATCACTTTTCGGCACGACACCGGCACTTTACTGAATCAGACTAATTTACCAGGGATGCCGTATAAATAAACCTAGTGTAGTCTGTCATCAGTTCACCAGAGTGATCGGTGATTCAACGGAAGTGGCAGTGCGCAAAGATCACTGAATGTGGAAGTACTACGTGTCAGCGTGATAATCCCCTATTGGGAACTACTGGTGTAGGGGAATAGATGTGTTAAAAAAGTAAAAATAAAGTATGCGTTGAAATAAATAGCGTTTTAAAATGCATGTATTATAAAACTACGCTACCACTCTTAATGCTCCTATGCTAAGTAATAACCTTTATCATTTTTATTTTATGGGAAGGGTAATAAATTCAATTATATAAACAATGTGATAACCTAATAAGTGCTAGTTAGCACAGGTTCATATTCTTGACATTTACTATATTATTTGAATTCATTCTAAACATCAAAAGCATACATATAAGTACTAAATTTGCTCTTGCAAATGTTGTATTTATTTTTACAGCATTTAAAAAAAAAAAAAAAAAAAAAAAATCGAGCCCATTGGCAGATACATTTAATAAGGAAGTCCAATAAATTGCCCTTATAAAGGTAAAACGCCTCTGGAAATCAACACAATGCAGGACCAGCTCACAGGAAACACTGAATAAGACTATTGAAATGTTAAGCAAGCAAACTCCGGCAGCAGAAACAGTCAGCCTTGTGCTAAGCCTAGCAGATTGTGTGTAAATGACCTATCAGTCTGAGCGATGTAAAATTTCATCTCTATTTTAGCCATTAATACAAAATATAGCATGCAGGTCCAACCTCTGGCGTTTAACTTCTGGGTGTTTCTTGATCTCCCTAAGGAGCATGTTGATGGGGCCGTACACATCGTTCGTCTGAATGCTGCGAACAATGCTGTTCAGTAGAGTTCGAGTCTCCTGGTGGTCAGTGGGGCTTAGAGTTCCCTTTCTTTGCACTGCACAACAAAGACACTCACATTCAGTGCCATACATGAAGTAGCTTAATGGCAATCCATTCATTAATTTTCTCTACAAGATTTATTACGATTATTTATCTGTGCACATAAATGATGTTGATCCTAAAAAAAAAACAAGTCAATGAAAATTAATGTGTTAATGCTAATACTGAACAAATATATCTTCTCAAAGCACCCCTGCTGTACTCACAGAAGGTCCTCCAGAGCTGATAGAGGGGCTCGGTGGGTTCCTGATGTAAGTTGACATTGTCCCACAGCAGCTGCACATACACCTGCTTACTGTCCTGAGACAGAGATGTCTGCGGCAGCTACAGGAGAAAAACAGAGATGGGAGCTTTATCATGTAGATCAGTTCATCAAACAAGCAATTATGGGTTGAAATACACAAAATGACTTAACAAATATGAGGTATATTTTCATTAAGAGCTGAATGACAAAAGATATGATGGCTCATTCTGGGTCCAACTAATGCTTTGCAATTCAGTTTTTAGCCCATACAGTGCAAATGTAAACAAAAAAAAAAAAATTAAACTAAGCATTCATTTGACTTTTTTTCAGTTACTTCATCAACGGAAAATTGCCATTTTGTTTCCTTTTCAAAATTTCCTTTTAAAAATTGTGACTTAAGAAATTATCATTTGAATAAACTAAATCCAAACGATTTCATTTTTTTGTCCCTTGTCTTAAAGGGATAGTTCACTTTGAAATTAATTTTTGATATGTTTAGCTTACCTCAAGGGCATCCAAGATGTAGGTGTCTTTGTTTCCACAGTATTTTCAATTTTGTCATTTTTCGGTCAAACCGGTGTTGTCTGTCAGTCATATAATGCAGGTTTAGGGGGTCCACCTCAAAGAGCATGCACAGAGAAGTCAAAATTAAACATGATTTAACGACTCGTGAATGTAAGTACACACTGAAGGCCTAAGATACGAAACGAGCGGTTTGTGTGAGAAAACAAACAGTATTTATATAGTTTTTACCTCTTGTTAGCAGTCGTCGAACTGATCTGAATCAGATGCCGGAAGTGATCTCTCACGCGTCTACGTCACGCATTGTTTACACGGAGATTTCGGAAGTTTTACCTTTCACTAAACATATTTAGATATATCGAAATCGTCTTCCATTGCGATTTCCCGTATATCTAAATATGTTTAGTGAAAGGTAAAACTTCCGAAATCTACATGTAAACAATGCATGACGTAGAGATCACTTCCAGTGTAACGTCTGGAGACGGTTCAGTTTGGTTCAGTTGGACATCTGATTCAGATCAGTTCAACGGCTGCTAACAAGAGGTAAAAACTATATAAATACTGTTCGTTTTCTCACACAAACTGCTCGTTTCGTGTCTTAGGCCATCAGTGTGTACTTACATTCACGAGTCATTAAAATCATGTTTAATTTTGACTTCTCTGTGCATGCGCTTTGCGGTGGACTTCCATAACTGCATTATATGACTGACAGACAACAACGGTTTGACCAAAAAATGTCAAAATTGAAAACGCTGTGGAAACAAAGACACCTACATCTTGGATGCCCTTGAGGTAAGCTAAACATATCAAAAAATTAATTTCAAAGCGAACTATCCCTTTAAAATTTGCACTGTAGGCTGTTCCATTAGCACGGGGGTGGCATGTTGTGTAGAATAACTGTGTGGATGATGAGAAGTAGTTAAAAGGCTAACACAGAGGATGACCCATTTCACACAAAGTGCCATCAGTTTTAATATTAATAACTGTGCTAAATTTATGACTCGGTATGGCCATCAGAAGGAGTGGGGGAAATGAAAAAAAAAAAAAACGAAACAAAAGTGGCCTGGCTACTAATTTTGCCCACTGCCCCATATCTAACGTATTTGTCATTACTTTATATTGCTGCATGCATGATACACCCAAGTGATTTTGGAATTCGCCATTCGATAATTAATCTAAACAAACTGGTATGTTGACGACCACAAATTTCCCAATCTCTCTTCGCAGCCCATCTGACAAATCTCATCACACTGGCTGCGGACTACAAGCCTATTAGCAATGGAGGAACCCTATTAGCAATGGAGGAACCCTATGGACAAGACCCCTTTAATGGCTACCCTGATCGCCAACTGCAGAGGGAAAATTTGTGGTCGTCAACATACCAGTGTAACCATATTTTTTATGCCACTCTTGTGGGATACAGTGATGTGTTTTGGGATGCTCACAACTTGTGTGCTTTTTCTCGCTGAGTCAGAGAGAACTGCCGTGCTAATAGAGCCTCATGAATACCAATGGTCAAGGTCAGGATTTTCAGTTATTTCTTACCAAACCCTATCGTATACCCCACAGAAAACATAAGATATATGAAACGTAACATCTGACCATGATACTTTTGCATCTTTTTTTAAAGCTTGATGCTGTTCACTATTCACTGCCATGTCTTAAATGTCTTTTATGACTAATTTAGCACATTCATTAACTGATCATTACACTAGAAGCCGTTCTCCAGTCATGTGCTGCAAGATTAGTCAAAAGTAGTGGATTCATGATTTGTTTCAGTTTATTATCGAAATATTATTCCAAAATCATTTGGTGCATCAGGCATACAACAATATAACGTAATAATAAATAGACATAGACAAGCAGGGGCACAGAATTTATTTTTGTATTTGCATTGTGAATTGTGAGGCATTCCACAGACCATTCTGAAGCAGTCAGTAAGTCCTCAATGTGAATGAATGTCAAGTACCTGTACTCCATTGTTGCAGTGTTCAGAGGTGAGGATGAGTCCAGGCAGAATGCTGGGCAAGTCTAAACGGCGGAAATACCATACCAGGTTCCAGAAGATAATGGGGTGCTGACTGAGGAACTTATGGGTATAGATTACCTGAGTGATAATGGAAATGGAAGAAAGACAACAAGCTGTTATTTGAAAACTTACTTTAATGCTTTCTGTCTTGTTGGTACACACAACACATCTAGAGACATACAGAGGGTTCAACAGTGTAAGTTTGCTATGATCTGGGGCTTTTTGCCACAGACTTAAAATGGAAAAGAGAAAAATTGTATAATTGTAACATCCATGGGGAACATGTTTACTGAACCATCAAAATGTTGTTGTAAAGTCATGGTTGAATACCTGATCCCCCTCATTCTCTAACAGCGACTCCAACTCTTTGCGCAGGACCAGTGGACTGAGATAAGGCACAGACACCGGTTTTGGGTTGGGCCACTTTTGACCAAAAGTGTCCTTGAACAACAAAATACAGAATTAATCAAACAACTGTAAGCAATAAATATGATTCTTGAAAGACTAAGAAAGATGCTCACTCACCGCCACCTCTTGTAGGCTGTTGGGCAGGCTTGTGGTCGATATGCCATGATTGGGTTTTTGGATCACGTCCAGACTCTGCAGTGGGCCTCCCACACTGTTGCTCCGGGTTAAAGTGTTGCGTTTCTCAGCTTGTCTCTCTATGAGACCCAGGGGGTCTGAATGTACCGGTTCTGGTACAAAGCTACAGTGCAAAGTGTGATTAAAAAACAAACAAACAAACAAACAAAAAACCATCATCAGTTAGCCAATAACATTGCCATTTGACCTACTCATTAGAAAATAAATTCTAAATTCCAGCAAAATATTTAAGTTGTATTTAAAGAACACATTAATATCTCCAATACTGTATATCTTCATGTTTACTAATGAACCGACTAATGATAAGTAATGGAATAATAATAAATCAAAACATTTTCAATTAAGGCATGTTGTAGTCCAGACTTCAGATTAGAATGTAAAAATGTTTTAGTTTGAAAATAAATGGCCTATTAAGTCAAACTTTTTGGTGCTGTGATAAACACCATTGTGAATACAAAAACCTGAATGGCTGTTTAAAACATTTAAATACTCAGAAACGGAAAGTAGTGCAGCTGCTTTGTTTACAGGGTTACCAGTGTAACGGCATTTCTGCTGTTCCATAAGCACCATCTGCTGTCAGAGAGTGAATGTAAATTTTCATTCAGCACGTCTTCTCCATTCATTTCTGCATGCTCACTTGTGTATCAGGGGTTGCAGAGTGTGCATGTCTCTTTGATGCAACACACGCAGTGTGGTACATTTTAAATTGTTGATGGACAATTATTCTTAAAATACATTCTTAAATAATTCATAATTAATAATTATTGGGGGTATTTTAAAGTGCCCATTATAACAATACCATGCACGTTCATTATCGTGATATATCATATTACCGTATATAAGCATGTCTACTCAACAAAAATCTCACTTACACATGTTCATTATAAATAGTTATAATGAATTTCGTTCTTCTTTTAAAATGTGGCTTTTTAGCATGCAAATATGTCTACATTGATTTTTTTATTCTATTGTTGTTTTTTTGTGTAGTTGTTTTGGTTTGTTATGTTTTAATTATATTTGTTGTATTTACATTGTATTTTTAGGTTGCCTATTGTACATCTGGCCCAGGACTGCAGATGAAAACTAGCCATTTGGCTAACTCTGGCATATTTTGACTTGTCATGTTAATATGCACCGTCCTTGTAATAAATAAATAAATAAATAAATAAATAAATAAATAAATAAATAAATAAATAAAATTACATGCACTCATGTGCAGAGATTTTTAAATTGTTGATGGACAATTATTCTTAAATTACATTCTTAAATAATTCATAATTAATAATTATTGGGGGTATTTTAAAGTGCCCATTATAACAATACCATGCACGTTCATTATCGTGATACATCATATTACCGTATATAAGCATGTCTACTCAACATAAATCTCACTTACACATGTTTACATGCACTCATGTTCAGAGATGTTCATCACTCATGAATAATTGCAATCTGATGGCAGATTCTGAAAGTTCTGTTTATATGAACCCTAAGCATTGCAATCTGATTCACATTTGTTTACATGTGCATTACATGTATTCAGAAGAGAACTTAAGCACATGCGCAGTACCCAGTTGCCATGCTAAGAACTAGAGAAAGTCATTGGAGGTTTCTTTTTTTTTTAAAGAAAATATTTAGTAAACATCCAGTCAGACTTAAATAAACATATGCATGTTAAATATGCAACATATGAAGAAAAATGTATGTGACCACACGCATCATGCCACTGGACATATGTGCAAGGTATTTTTTTAATCAGATTGTTAATCAAATTATTTCAGGTCTACACCACCCCTATCATTCTGATCAAAATCTATTTAAGATTTATTTGGGTGCATGTAAAGGTAGCAACTAAATTGGCACTTTTGGTTTCAAAATCAAGCTTTCAATATTTACCCATGCACCAACAAAGACGCACAAAAAATTATGGCCCATGTTACATTTCAGGGTTGTGTTTACATACATCTTTGGGGTTCCACTTTGACCGCCAGGCATCTCGTCAGGACCTTTGCTGTCCTCCGGAGATTCAGGGAAGCTCACGAGGTCTGAAGGCTCACTAAGACAACCCTTCACTTCAGAGGAGCTAGAGGTGGCCGGTTGCGTGCTGGAGCTGTGGATACTGTCTCCTGATGTGCTCGTCAAGTAGAAGCTGTAAACCAAAAATACAGCAGTTAATATTACTTTATATTAATAAAAATAGCACAATGTTTATATTGTTATTAAGCGCAACTGTTGCTCTTCTATCAGCTTGAATCAGTCAGCCCATTCTCCTCTGACCTCTAGCATCAACAAGGCATTTTCGCCCACAGGACTGCCATATACTGGATGTTTCTCCCTTTTCACACTATTCTTCGTAAACCCTAGAAATGTTTGTGCGTGAAAATCCCAGTAACTGAGAAGATTGTAAAATAATTAGACCGGTTCGTCTAGCACCAACAACATGCCACGCTTAAAAATTGCTTAAATCACCTTTCTTTCCCATTCTGACATTCAGTTTGGAGTTCAGGAGATTGTATTGACCAGGACCACACCCCTAAATACATTCAAGCAACTGCCATGTGATTGGTTGATTAGATAATTCCATTAATGAGAAATTAAAAGGTGTTTCTAAAAATCCTTTAGGTGAGTGTATATATATATATATATATATTTGACATTTTTAAATATTGAGAACAGTAAAATCAAGTAAAATGTTTGCGCTGTATAGTTAAGCATCAAACTGACCTAAATCTTTAATAACTCACCCTGGTGTTGCACGCAAGTCATGGAACTCAATATGGAGCAGAGGAAGAAAAGAGATTTGACAGAAAGGGCAAGTGCAGTTGAGATTGGAGTCGTCAGCCGTCCAGCCCACCATGATCTCCTCATCATACACCAGAGCCTCACAAGACCGACACTGAGAGCAGCTGGACATTAGAACCTGCCAAAAAGAATCATGAAGAACAATTGTACTAATTCTGCTAATTTTGAAGTGATCTTGTATTTGAGCATCAGCAGAGGGTGCTGCTCTCACCTCTAAAGCACAATTTTGGTAAATGCTGGAGGTGCTGGCATGATGAGACGAACTATGTTCAGACCTCTCCGAGTCTGCACCTCTCATTGAGCGACCTGGAGTCAAAGCTGTGAAGAACAAATGCAAATAGAGAATTGCTTTTCAAATAGAACAACAGGGTGTTCAGACTGTTAACCGTGCAATAATATAATGTTGACTTTAAATTAGAAATAAAATGATTGATGATATTAATCTTATTTAAGAAGCCTCATGCTGATACATGTTTTATGGCATGATAGCATGATGTGTGTGTACTCGGTATGAGCCTTACGTGTCGACAGCTTTGCACGGCCGGTATCACTGCTATCACTGCTGCTGCCCAGGCTGGTATTGCTGTGCGTGAGCCCATTTGAGGCCAGACTGGGCATCAGGCCTCTGGGTAAAGTGTTCTCTGTTGCTCCCTCTGCAGACAGCAACTGTTCTTCTAACCTAGCCGGGAAACTGTCTCGGGGATGGGAGTTATCCTCCTGAATCACAGACATACACAATGTAGTAGAGACTAAAGGCATGTTCAACATTTACAATGCGCTTGTATATTTCTGCGTTTGCGCGTAATGTTTACTGTTTTTATTATTAGCCTAAACAATAAATCAGGTAATCTGGCTTTCATAACTCAGTGCCTAGTCTCTTTAAGACATTACCGCACGTCACTGCAATAAACCAATCAGAGTCTCATCTCCCATTCCCTTTAAAAGCCAGTTGCACGGATTCGCTGGAATTTTTACAATGACGGAATTTGCAAGCAGAAAGACTGAACGCCTCTCCAGAGAGCAAACAGATCTGTTCTTGCATGAGGTTAAAGTGCGCAAGCAGACCATCTACGGGACAAGCCGGATTCTACCATATCTTTATGTTTTGTGTGCTGATGTGCATCCTGTGTGTAATAAGCAGAGTGTATGCGTGTTGTCCCCCCATCTATAGACTTTATTACTATTGCACCATTTTAAAATAAAAAATAAAATATTGCGCCACTGACTTTAGACCAGGTTTTTGTTGGTCAATGGTCTATTTCAGTTGCCTCAAAATAGCAACACACCAACAATGCATCTGAACACACCTCGTTTTCAGACCAGCACGCCCATGGGTACAAATGCATTTACTATTTAAATAATGTGGGGCAGGATGTGAAAATGATAACTGCGTTGGGCTGAAACTAGCAAAAAAACCTTGCGCTGCTCCTGGAGCCACATTGCACCGGGTGTGTATGATAGGGCCCTAAGAAATATGTATCTTACATATTACTGTATGTTAATGATTTTTTTTTTGTACAGTGACAAAATAAAAGAATTATTTAATTTAGGTAAAAAAAAACATGTACAATATTCTTTTTTAAACATTTTTCTCAAACAGTACAAATTGTTCTTTAAAGGTGAAAATATTATTTCTATTTTCTCTCTCATGTTCGCTGCTATTGTACAAAAACATTCTTTTTGGACATTAATGTTGACACTAAATTATCATATTTATCTTGTTTATTTATTATACTAAGTGTCTTTTTTAACTTCTTATTATTTATTCTTGTATTTTATATTTTATACTTTTACTACATTTTTATGTCATGTGTGTTATGTATTTTATGGCTGCTGTCCTCTGTGAGTTACCAAACAAATTTCATTGTATAACTACAATGACAAATAAACTTCTATTCTATATTTATACTAAGGGGCTGAATGCTTGATTCTGATTGGTTGACAAATTTTCAAGTATTTAATTATTTTCAAGTAAACACAAAACTAAAGTAGTTCCAGGCAGGTCTTGACTGCATTACAGTTCCATATCACTTCGGCAAATTATTTCAGTTATCTCAAAGGTTTGCAAATCCACAAAACACCGACCAAGCAAATTGTTTTTTTTTTTTTTTTTTTTTGCTAACTGGGAGTTACTCGCACATGCTTAAGCAATCTATAAATCTGTCAACAAAAACTGTATTATTCTGCATATCAATGGCATAGACCTCCACTGTAAGCTAAAAAATTATGTTTTGGAATGCGATGAGATGGGTAAAAAAAGAAATTGCCCAACCAACACACAAGAATTTTATGGACATTAATCTGACAAAAGTCTCAAAATAAAACATTTGAACGCAGTATAAGTGGAATAATTGACTCTGGGCCATTGAAATATTAAAACAATAACGCACACCCAAAGTGTAACGACCACACCGTTTCTCTTTGTGACCGCATACCACATCAGGTGTGCATTATTTTTCTAATATTCAACAGACTGTTGTCAATTAATTCTTTACATATAGCTGCCTCTTTACATATAGGGTCAATAAAGTTCCCTTGGCCTTTGGAATTAAAATATCCCCACATCATCACACACCTTCCACCACACCTAGAGATTGGCATGGTTTTACTTCAGTTAGCCTAATAGCTGGTTTGATTTGCATTGAAAGATGATCTTCTGGAAAGTACCCCATGCCAATCTCTAGGTGTGGTGGAAGGTGTGTGATGATGTGGGGATATTTTAATTCCAAAGGCCAAGGGAACTTTATCAGGATGCATATTATCCTGGATCCATGAAATAACTGGCTTTTAAAAATAAAAATCTGCCTGACTCTATGGGAATTTAACATAGGGGTGCCCTGACTTATGTACCCTGTATTTTAAGGAAAAACATTTATTTATGTATGATACATTATTCATTCACAAAGAAAATTGGTGTCCTTAAAGGTTGGAGTTTTCCTCATTTTTCTAATTAAGGCATTAAGATCAATATCCAAAAGATGATTTTTTATTCCTCTTTTTAGGCAACTTTAGCATGGGTGCCAAAACTTATTCAAACCACTGTATAACCAATTACACTGTCTACATTGTGACATCTTTTTTACATTGTGTTTGCACTGTTAGTTATGATGAAAGCATTCATGAGAGTGCAGAAATAAATTTAAGTTGCAATAGCAAAGCTTTTAACATGCGAGACATGACCGTTTTAGGCTACACAGTTCAGCATTGCAAACTTTTATGCAATGGGAGTATATCTAAAAATAATGATATAATCACAATTAGTTAATCTTGGAAGCTGTAATATTAAAAGCATAGAACAAGTTTTCAAAAGAGTTACACATGTATAATGCTTATTTCATATGCAAAGATGTTCCCTAATTAAAGCAGTAGGCAAGTCTTAAAGGAGACATGTCCCTTTAAATTGAATGTTTAAATCAGAGGGCTATTCAGGGGTTGAAAATGGTTTTGATGAGACATTTTTACTTATATGAGTGTACCTTTTTTTAACCTTCCATCTATCTCTGGCTTTCATTCATAACATCAGTGAACACCCTTGGGATGTATGTTAAGCAGTCACAATCAAGAATGTCACTAAAGCATAAAAGAGGTACTTTGTTCACCTATTTCCTCCTGAGAGAAGTTTTTGTGTCTAATGTGGTTGGTATAACTCAGATTTTGATCTGACTGTACCACGATCTCTGATTAAGAAAACCTCTTTTGATTTTCTAACAACTTGTTTTCTTTTGGTCTCTCACCTCATCATCAGAGTAGGAGTAAGCTGAGGCCACTGCATCCCACATCTTGCTGGCCACGTTGGCCGCCTGCTTCATGCCTGACTTAAGCATATCTACTTTCGGCCCTACCAGGAGAGAGTCCATCTTGATGCCTGATATGGAGTTGATAACTGATCCCAGTGAGCTGCTCTGTGATGACTTTACAAGAGCGGTCAGCGATGATGACCTTTGACCTGCAGAGCCTGGGGTCTTCGGGGACTTGAATGCGAATGTCTTCGAGCGTGTGACGGCAGGGCTACGTTTTGGTGTTTCAGTTGAACTAGGCACTTTGACCTGACCGATCGGAAGGCTCGATCTTCTTTCTAAAGACTGCTTAACTGCAGGAGAGTCTGGACAGTTCATCATTGATTCTTGATTTGATCCCTGCTGCAACTCCATGCTGGGAGATCTACCACTAAGAGGTTTACCACTCATGTACATTTCAATTTCATCAGCCAGATTCCTTGACACCAAAAGTGGAAAGGGTTGTGTGGACTCCTGGCTCTGGATGGAGGTTACATCCTCAGTTTCGGAGGCAAAGAGCGACAGAGGATCTGCCCCCACCTCAACATCCTCCCTCTCCACAGCTTTAGAAGAGGAGGAACCAGTGCTAATGGTTCGCCCAAGTCCTTCACTACCCTGGGGTGTTGCTGTGTCTACTGAATCTTCCAGCTCTCTACTTTTCTCCACTTTCTTTTCTTCTATACCGAATGCTTTATGCTCCTTCTCCGGCTTATCTTCATGTTCCTCTTCCTGGAGGGCAGGGCTCAGTGTAGCCTCCATCTTAAACTCTTTAAAAGGAGCGATGGTTCCAAAAGGAGGAGGGGTCAGACTGCCAGAGAACACGGCTGCGAGGATTTTTGCATCTGCGCCCATGTGATCAGCGCTGAGCTCCAGACTGCCCTTCTTTTGTAGCATGCCGGCTTTGCTCTCTGCACTGAAACTGCAGCTGCGCTCCATAAAGGCTTTCACCCTCTGCTGCTGTCCAGAATGAGAGACCTGCGAATCTGGGATTGCAGAATCATCCTCCACAGGCAGGGTGACATCTTCACTCTTTTTACGGGGCATGAAGAGCTTACCTGTACAAACACCTGCTGGAGACATGGAAGACAATAAAAAGAAATGGTACTTATTTCATGAAGCACTCAATAAATGCTAGGTTTTGCTTGTCCAGAAATAAAAATAAGTACTTGTCAAGGTAACAAGTTTCGTGTAAAATGAAATGCAAAGAACTTTTACCTAGTCATTATTAATCATATCAGCAGAGGTGGACAGAGTACACAGCTTTATTACTTGAGTAAAAGTACAGATACCCCTTGCTAAATTTGACTCAAGTACAAGTAAAAGTACTACAGTCAGATGTCTACTTAAGTAAAAGTACCGAAGTACTTGGTTTTAAAAGTACTTGAGTATCAAGAGTACATTTTCTAACGTCCTACACGGAGAAACGTCCTACATGGAGTTATGAAAAATGTTAATGTTAAATTAAAAGTAAAATCAAGTAATTTTCATCTTTTTACCATGTTGCTTTATTTAACATTTAAGAAAATTTCAGAATATTCAGAAAATTGAAATAGTCTTAAAATAGTGAAACGGGTCGGCACATTCCCGGGATCATGCTTCATCCATTGTTTTGTCCATGGTTTCGTCTCTTATCTAAATCTGACCATAGGCTAGACAATAGGATAGGCTGTCCCAATGGTGCCTGCACAATCCAATCACATTTGAGAGGGAAACAACAAATTGAGGGTTTCCGAGATTTTTCTTTTTTCCATTTTTCTTTTTTTTCTTCTTCTTTTTAGAAGTAGTAATGGGTACTCACGGTTATGGATAGAAATGTAGTGGAGTAAAGAGTACAATATTTCCCTCTCAAATGTACTTGAGTAAAATCATGAGTACTCCCCAAAAATGATACTCGAGGAAAGTACAGATCACTCAAAATTGTACTTAAGTACTGTACTCAAGTAAATGTACTCCATTACTATCCGGCTCTGCATATCAGTATACATTTCCAGTCACTAACCAGTTTCTCCCCTGCCTGCAGTGCTGTCAAAGTGGACAGGGATCTCAGTGGACAGTTTAACAATGCTGGCTACACAAGGTGCCATCTCAGCAGGGCTAGGGGGCTCCGTCACAGCTACAACACTGTCCACAGAACTAGCAATATCATCCCCTGTAAAGAGACAAAAGGAGTAAACTATCTTAGAGAAGTTATCTTGATGTCATTGTACATTACAATAGACAATCTAGTGCTGTAAAAGGAACTTCATTAATGCATGTGAAAAAAGATCATTAACAGCAATGCATTAATTCAAATTTGACATCTACAGTATCTCATTCTGTTTCAGTGATATAATTATCATAGAACCTTATAAAGTATCTTCTTATTAAACGGTCTGTACACTTACAAAGTTCTCAATGCTTCGTTTTGCATGTATGGAGCCTCATTATGTTACTGCGTTAGTGTGGGGCTATTTTGAGCCTTGTTAGTGGTATAAACTAGCGATTTGTTTTTACTTAGTCAATGCCCCCATTAATAGCATTATACGCTAAACAGTTTTTAGAGATAAAACTCTTTACATTCGATTATCATGAAAACAAATCTCAAAGAACAGTTGACTATGTACCGATGTTTTATTAGACCAAAGGTTCATTATTTGACGGAGTTCTCCTTTAAGTGTAGGACAATTGCATTATTTAATTATTTCAATTATTAAATTGATTATTATTTGCATTAACTTCAGTGCACTTCCTGTGCATTTTAATTAGCTATATAAAGTACAACAATACAGTGCAGTACCAATTTGTGAGTTTGTTGCTTTGCTATTGCTGGTGTGGCTAGTAGACAGAGGAGCAGAGGTTATAGGTCCATCTACAAGGTCCTGAGGCAGCTCATCCTTAGATCCATAACCCTGATCAGACTGACCAGCTTATGAAATCATAAACAGAAAAAAAAAACTTAGTCAACAGAACAATACATGGAAATGTTAATAAAATTGTATGTAATTTGACATACATTATTTTTGAATCACACAAGGCAACAATACCTGTACTATATTGACTGTTACTAGCGCCCTCAACTATAAGGCCGTGGGAGAAGAGAATGTGTTCCTCTACAATAGGTTCATTTGAGCTGTCTACACTGCCATGACTCAGTCTGTCTCCATTAGCACCTGCTGCTGTACCTGCTGAAAGCTCTGTATGAAAATACACACAATTTCACACAGTCATTTCATAGTGATAAGAACAGAAGATCAAACTAAATATGAGTAACTTTGTTTCGTTTTTTTAATGATGTCTAATGTTGACAATCAAACTTCACTCAATAAAATTAATTCTACAGTTAAAATGCTTGTTGTATTTCTTATTTGTCTCTGTCAGTTTAAATCTAGACTAAAAACACATTTCTTTAACCTGGCATACACATAGAAAATTATCCATTCCTATTATTCAAATCAGTTAAATGATTATTAGGCTGCATAAATTAGGTCAGCTGGAACCGGGAACTGACAATATTCTGATTGTTCCAATCCAATCTGACTTCTGACCTATAATCTGACTTCTGGCCTGAATCAGATTCATTCACTGTTCGTTCGTTGGCCAGAAAAGAACTGGCCCACCACTGAGCCTGGTTTCTCCCAAGGTTTTTTGTCCATTCTGTCACCTGATGGAGTTTTGGTTCCCTGCCACTGTCTTCTTTTACGCCTTTGTTGTCATTGGCTTTTGGTTTGCTTAGTTGGGGACAGTTCATTTAATTTAAAATTCAACAATATTATTGATTGATTATTAAAATGAAACATTACTGAACTTATTTAATTTGGACTGTTAAGCTTATTTTCTGCTGGAGACAAATTTTGTTGCATTATTTTACGGTTATCTCTGTAAAGCTGCAGTGAAACAATTTGTTTTGTAAAAAGCGCTATATAATTAAATGTGACTTGATGTGTAAGTTGCGGCAGCTAATTAAATAATTTAAAATTAAACAGCCTGCAAGATATTGCACAAGTCTGTCAAAATGGCTGCTGGTCTGTGGTAATTAAATGTAAAATGCATGGCAGTTCAGTGGATATAGCTTGTACGGGTGATGACTAGAGATAATCTTATATGATGTCGAGGATGGCAGTTGCTAGTAAAAGAGTTAACCTGATATTTACAAACATTAGACCTAAAATTATAATATAATATTAATCCAGTTACTAACCATTCTACAAGCAATAACCTGTAACACACATTTTAATAGAAGGAAAACTTACATCATCATCTATTATTGGTAAATGGAAATGCATTACGTCGGAAGTGGGACTAAAAGGTATACTCTCCGGGGTTGAAAAATTAAAAAGACCAGAAGTGGGATATTAAAAGTAGAGGTAGAGGGAGGGGCAGGGAACCCCACCCTCCACATAAAACCTGTTTCTAACTATAGAAAACTACCCACCTATAGGGCCAAAATGTATAAACATTAAGCATAGGAAGGAAGTAACTTGAACCTGTGGTTATCAGAGAAGGACCTCTATGAAGAGCTGTCCCACGCAATGCATGTTTAAACTGCACCACTCCTCGGACCAGGTTCCGCATTTTGGTCCACATGAAGAGTCCGCTACGGTTACGGCTTGGCCAATGACTTTCCAGGACAGCCTGGACAAAACGCAGCAATTGTCAGGTCATGAGTAAGCACGACAAATTGTTTCAACATGGTAACACACTGACATTTGTAATGCTCCCCTTCACTGGAGCAATAGGACCAGATCATTTAACGATGCAAAATTTTCAAGGTGTTAAATTAAAGATTAAAAGGCATATTTTTTTGTGTGATAACTCTCGAGTGGAACAATCCCATCTGGCAATGAACATTTGTAAAATTGTTTGAAATACACCTTTTAAGATTGTTCAATTAATGTATCTTTTAACAAATCTTGGGTTTTGCATGAACATGCCATCAGGCTCAGAGGCACCAGAGGAAATCACTACAATGAACTCTGCTCTACAATGATCTCTCAATGAACATTACTGAGGCATCTGAGCCTAGAGGAAAAATAAAAATGACAAATGTTTGACATCTACAAATCAAACTTTTTTTTTTTTTTGAAAACTCATAATTTTGCTAGCTAAAAAAAGCAAATTGTGTGCAACAGAAACACACTATTAAAAAATTATACCATGATGCTTTGTAGTTTCAGTATGTAAGGGCAGAGTGGTCTTCACTGTTCTCTGTGGTGTAGTGCTATAGTGCATGCATTCCTCACCTTGTTGTAGTATCCATAGGTAATAGCATTGGGTTCAACTCCAGCCTTTTTCATCTCCATTAAGACACGCACAGCCATGACAGGCATCCCCCACAGACCACACAACTGCATCACCACACGGTAACACACCTGTTAAACACACCGTTTTTGCTGTAGGGTCACACCAAGATCTACAGAATCAAGTCATTCTTTTTCAGAAATAAATTAGGCAATTTAAATGTTATCGAGCCAGCAGCCCAGTGTTGGAAAGGTTCACTTTCTACATGAACTAGTTAAAAGTTCAGTTCACACATTTTAAAATGAACTAGTTCAGTTCATAGTTCATGCTTCAAAAAATGAACTAGTTCATAATTCTTTTATTCCATTTGTTGCAAGCTTCTTTTTTATTATTATTATTGCCACAGACAACAATTATTTCATCGACGGGAAAAGTTTGCACAGAAATGTACGATTTTTCCCATCCTCACCGACCTCGTCAAAAAACCTGTTTAAAGATCATACGACGCCTCCTCGCTCACTGCTTTGTCGACTGCGGCCACGGTGTGACCCTGGTGTCTTGTGTTGCCAGATTGGGTGCTTTTTTCGCTACATATTAAGGCCTGTTTACGGAGTTTTAGCCGGGTTTTCGCCTAGAAGTCTCTATAGAAATCTGGCACCCTATAGTAAGAAGTTAAACTGAGAGAGTGTGCGTTCACAGACATCAGAATGAACGAGTTCACAGTAACATTCATCAGGCAGTAATACAGTACGTTCAGTTCACGTTCGCTCAAAATATGAACGAGTTCATGAACTATCGTTCATTGAACGTGTTCTGGCATAACACTGCAGCAGCCATATCACTCTGTAGCCCAAGACTGGTTGCCTACTGGTTGCCCTCCTTCGGATGAGACGGAAATCCCCATTGGAAAAAGAGTAGGGGTGTAACCCTGGCATCAAGGCCAAATTTGCACATTGGCCTCTGTTCACCATGGCCTCCTAATCATCCCAATACAAACCTATTGGCTTCATCACTCTGTCTCCTCTCCGCTAATAAGCTAATAAACTGTGTAAAATTATTATTATTTCTTGAAGGATGTGTGTAAGGAAAGCACTCAACATTAGTTTTAGATCTAAGGCCTTGTTTACACTGCATGGTTCAAGTGACCCAAATCCGATTTTTTCCTCTCATGTGGCACAGATCGGATATGACCGGTGAACGTGTAAGCAGGAAAAAAAACGCATGGATTCTGATTCTCAGATCGGATTCAGGCCTCATTCATATGTGGTAATAAATCGGATATGAATCAGATACGTGCATTTGCGTGTGCCATGTAAGCAGACAAATCGGATATTCCCCAGTAAATGCGAGTCATGCGTCATTAAAAACTGCGCGATTATAGGCGCGTGCCGCGCGATGGAAGAAAGGATACACACAGTGGAGCAATGCGGAGGTTTCATGTCTTTTGAGTGTGTGGGGTGAAGAGTGCAGGCAAAAATGCAGGGTTGTTACAGAAATAAATCCGTTTTTGAAGACATTTCAGGAGATATGAGGCATCGTTTCAAGTGCTCATGGCCAGAGCCTCTCTTTTTTTCTCCGCCGTACGAGACCAATGTTTTGATGACTTATTGAAATATTGTGGAAAGAAAACACTGGATAATTTTATTCGCATCGGCATCCATTGAATTGTGCTGTTTTGCCGGTTCAATTTCCCTGAGAATTTCCTGGTTCAGAACCATCAGAACGTCTGCATTTGGTAGTTTCAGCAGTGTGTAGTGTGAATGCAAAAAACGGATATGTGTCACTTTTAAAAGATGATGTAAGCAGGTTGTCAAAAAAATCGGATATAGTCAGAAAATCGGATTTGGGCATCAAGACCTGCAGTGTAAATGCAGCCTTAATGACCCCATTTAGGATTTGTATTAACAACTGTCTTGAGATCTAAAAAATAACCACACAAAAAAAAAAAAAAAAAACAGACATATTGTAATCTGATCACTCAAACCACCTTTGGCCAGGGTTGCTTATGATGTGTTGAGTTAATCTAACTGTGAAGGAACTTTTTAATTAATCATAACTTATCTTTCTTTTTGTATGCTTTTGAAAACTAAAGCCACTTAGGCCAACTAAAGTTCCAAGGGCCACAGTTATTGTGTCTGAATATAACAAAAGGCAAACAAGGCTATATATTTAATACGAATGTATAATCTCATGACTTGAGTAACAAGGTGAAGTGATCAAGAAACCCAGATTTGGTTTTACTTAGTTACAGAAGGGTTTGCTGGATTATACGAAGAAACAATCACATTGGAGAAAAATTTTGTAATGAAACGTGTCACCTTTTTCATGCTTCTGTTTTATAAAAACTGTTGTCCTCTTTTTGTCGGGATAATTCCCTCTGAAATTGGTCAGAGAATCCTCCTGGCCATGATTAAAGCATATTCATAAGGCATTATCTGTGAATTTCGTTCATTGTCTAATTACTGGTGCTGTACAGATATTATTTCTATTCTCATGTAATAGTGCTGATGCTAAAGGGGAACACTTGAGACCTTATTCCCAAGTGATGGTGTTCATAAGGGATGAGATGCCGTCCAACTCGAATGGGTGTTGTAGTGGAAAAAACCTGTAGAATATAAATTTGTAGTTGTCGGGAACCTGGTTTAACTTGAGTCATGTTCGTAGGGGAATTTCTACCACACTAACATACTCTATTTCTTTTTAAAAGAAACCACCTTAACCAACCAACTCCGTTTTAATTCAAGCAACCTCAGATCCAGGCCGCGGTTAAATTAAAACACGCAAAGAGAATAAAAAAAGCATTCCAGATATTATATTTTTTACTTTTACTAACATTTGCTATGCTCCAAATAATTTTAGCTGCTTATATTTTATAGCTTATATTTAGTAGCAGCCTACACAGGGTTATAAAAAAAAAAAAGTAGTGTGAAAAGTGAACTGGGACCAACAATCAATAAGAGATCAGAATCCATTCACAAATGATTTTATATTGAATAAATGCTGCAAAATATATATATAATAATATATATATATTATTATATAAACATATATCTAATATTTACGCCTGTATAGCTGTGTATGACTAATAAGGAGATTAAGAGTGCGGCACAGACATGCAAGCGTGTCATTTCTTTCTCACAGACTTCGCTGAAATGTTTATTGGCCGATCAGATATGTCAACAGTAAAGAAAGTAAAAAGATGCACCTATTGCTAACATTACTTGATGGTAAGGAGAGGCATAGTGAGAGAGAGAGAGAAAGAGAGAGAGAGAGAGAGAGACACAGAGAGAGAGAGAGAGAGAGAGAGAGCACACTTTTGTTGAATACACTTGATTGCTGATCGCTCACTTAGCTAACACGCGATTAAAACTAAACTGTATATTGTAAGTGCCCTAGTAAAAAAATGAACTGTTACGTATTTTAGGCATAACGTGGTTCCCTACATTATTACAGGAAAACATCATGTGATTACTGTGCCACTGCACTGGAGCTGTTCTAAATGTGGGCCGCAGATGGAATACGATAGAGCAATATGAACAATGAATAAAACAGAACAATAACAGAAGCTTGTACAATACATTTTAACAGGCATAATTAAGCATGAAAACAGCTGAAGGAAACCTCTATTTTTAAATCTATTTATCTTTATAGTCTGCTCAATATATATTTTGAATTACTATATTTAAATTACTTAAATAATATAACTATTTATTAAAATTGTTACGTTTAAATTAGAAAATATAAATGCAATGAACATACAGGTATCAGTACTCAGGGAGTATCAACAATGAAAGTATCAGTATCTGACTCAAAGTGGTATTGGTGCATCCCTAAATAAAACAGATGTATTTTTGTAAAATATTGTGTCCACGTACCTCATCGAGCACCTCCACCTCAGAGCTCCTCATCTTGAGCAGAACATTGAAGGCCTGCTGCATGGCGCGGGGTTTGGACTGGGCTGTACGCATGCTGGCAGGAAGACAGATGAACCACAGACTGTAGCAGTGACTAAACAGACACTTTGCCCACTGGGGTGGATTGGAATAGAAACGCTTTGCCAACTTGTAGGCCAATTTGATTTCCTGTGTGGAAAAAGGTGTTTGAGTTTCAGAGATTGCTATTAAAGGGCATTCTCTTATTAAATTTTCAGCTGCAAGAACAAAATTTACAACTTACAACTCGACAAATCAAACCCGTGTACCCCGTTTTGGGCACTTACGCTGCATTTTTCAAAATAATTCCTTTAGTATTGCATGGTTGTAAAAAAAAAAAAGCATCAAAGTTGTGCAGCTTAGTCAAACCATTCAACGAATAATAATAACCTCAAATTTGGGGGAAACTATCCCTTTTGATATCACGTTTCTTCCAGAATGGAACAATTCATAGAATTTCATTTTAAATGTAGTCACAACTGACTTAATAAAGTTTAGACGTAGGATTCAATTCAAAAATCCTTGAAGATGCTGGAAAATTCAACACCCTGCTATTTTGCAAGTTCTCCCACTTAGAAATCATGGAGGGGTCTGAAATTGTCATCGTAGGTGCATGCCCAATGTGAGACCAGAAAAAATCCAGAAATCACAATGTATGATTTTTTTTTTTTTACTTTTTATTTGTATGATACAGCTGCAAATAAGTATTTGAACACCTGTCTATCAGCTACAATTTTGACCCTCAAAGACCTGTTATTCTGCCTTTAAAATGTCCACCTCGACTCCATTTATTATCCTAAACTAGATGCATGATTTCTGAGTGGGAGAACTTGCAAACTAAAATAGCAGGGTGTTCAAACACTTATTTTCCTCATTATAATAATAATAATAATACATTTTATTTGTAAAGCACTTTACATTTGACACCAAATCTCAAAGTGCTACAGTAAAACATAGTTAAAAATAAACATAAGAAATACAGTATACAATAAAAACAGAACATGTTAGAAAGAGGGACTAAAAACAAGCATTAGCTATTAAAATGCGCCTGTGTAAAAAGATGGGTTTTTAGTCCTTTTTTAAATGCTTCTACTGTTTGCGGGGCTCTGAGGTGGTCAGGGAGCGCGTTCCACAGGCAGGGAGCAGCGACTTGAAAGGCCCTGTCGCCCATTGTTTTGAGCCGTGTCCTGGGCATAACCAAACGGTGCTGTTGGCCTGACCGGGTTCTGGTTGATGAAATAGGTGTGAGCAGCTCGGTGAGATAAGTGGGGGCCACACCGTGTAGACAGTGATGGGTCTGAAGGAGAACCTTATATTGTATGCGTGACTGAATGGGTAGCCAGTGCAATGAACGAAGGATGGGGGTGATGTGCTCATGTTTACGCACCCCCATCAGGACCCTGGAAGCGCTGTTCTGAACATACTGGAGCTTTTGAAGGCTCCTGCCAGGAATCCCGATGAGGAGTGCATTACAGTAGTCCAACCTGGAGGACACAAAAGCATGGACAAGCTTCTCTGCAGCAGAAAGGGAGAGGGAGTTTGGAAATATTGCGTAGGTGAAAAAATGCAGTTTTGCAGATAGTGGTGACATGACTGTCAAATGAAAGGTGGGGGTCAAATTTTACCCCTAGGTTAATAACAGAGGAAGAGAGGGGAGTAGTGTGTCCAAAAAATGAAACAGTGGTGATTGGAGAGGAGCGGAGTTGATGAGCAGTTCCAGTTTGAATGGCCTCTGTTTTGGGGCCATTTAGCTGCAGGAAGTTTTGACTCACCCATGCCTCTATCTCCTCCAGGCAGGAGCTAAGGCGTGCAGCCGTGGCAGAGGGGGAGCTAGAGGGAGTAACTTGAATGTAGAGTTGTGTGTCATCAGCATAGCAATGGAAATTTACTCCATGCCTGCTGATGACACGACCCAAGGGGAGCATGTAAATGTTGAAGAGGGTCGGACCGAGTATGGAGCCCTGAGGGACCCTGCAGATGACAGTGTGGGGTCTGGATTTTACATCCCCCAGAGCTACATACTCGGTTCTATCAGTGAGATAGGAGTGAAACCATTTCAGTGCAGTACCAGAGAGACCTGTGTAGTGTTGAAGTCGGTGCAGGAGAATGTGATGGTCTACAATGTCAAACGCAGCAGAGAGGTCGAGAAGAATGAGAAGGGATGTGGAGTCGGAATCAGAAGCCATAAGCAAGTCGTTAGTGACTCTGACAAGAGCTGTTTCTGTGCTATGGGATGGACGAAAACCAGATTGAAATTTCTCATATAACCTGTTTGATTTGAGATGATTTTGGAGCTGGATGGAAACAACTTTTTCTAGGAGTTTGGAAATGAAAGGGAGATTTGAAATTGGTCTGTAATTTGACAGCAGTGTGGGGTCCAGGGTGGGTTTTTTGAGGAGGGGTTTGATGAGAGCAATTTTGAGGGAGTTAGGAACATAGCCCGTCTCTATGGACATGTTTATTATTTTGGTTATGAGGGAACTGATAGAGCTAGTGTGGGTTTTAAGCAGAGACGATGGGAAGGGATCAAGACGGCAAGTGGATGTTTTGGATTTACAAATGATGTTTTCGACCTCCTGCTGCGTTGTGGGTGACAACTTTGATAGGGTTTGAGCAATCGATGTAGCGGGTAGGTCTAGTGAAATGATATTTAAAAGTGGAAATGAGGAGCAAATATTGTCAATTTTTGATGTGAAAAAATTAAGAAACCGGTTACAGTTTATGTCGGTTGGACTATAGAATGGGGAGATCTGTGGTTTGATGATGTGATTTACTGTGGAGAACAGTTTTCTGGAGTTACCAGTATCGTTGTTTATAAGTGTTGAGTAGTGTTGTGACCTAGCCTTGGAGAGTGCTTTGGCATAAGCCCTACGATGTTCCCGGTAGGCCAATTTATGCACCGTCAAGTCAGATGTTTTACAGGCACGCTCCAGGACACGGCCAGACCTCTTCATCCCTCTCAGCTCGTTTGTAAACCAGGGGGCAGAGCGGGTAAATGTGACGGTCCGGGTTTTTAATGGAGCAATACAGTCCAGAATAGAGGTGAGGCTGGTATTGTAGTAGTCCATTAAGTCGTCAGCAGATGAGTTAGGAGGGGGGGGAGAGATGCTGTAAATATTGACTGAGTGAGGTAGCGTCCAAGTTCTTGATGTTCCTAAAGGTTATAAGACGTTTTGGTTTGGTGGGAGGAACTAATAGTGGGACTTCAAATGTAACCGCCAGGTGATCGGAGACACCCACGTCATACACCTGAAGGCCTGAAACTGAGAGGGAGTCTGTAATGATAAGGTCGAGTGTATGCCCTCTATTGTGTGTGAGGGCATCCACAAACTGTTGAAGGTTAACCCTTTATGACCTGCCATAGAACAGTTCCACCAGAGTATATCTTTCTATTTTTAAATGCTGTGCTGTCATTCTTTTGAGCATTTTCATATGCCATACATCAAAATAATCCTTACTTTCTCTACTTGAAGGCTATGTTTGTAATAAATCAATAGTAGCTAGATAAATATCTCAAAAATGCAATAAACAAAAAGAAAAACATTTTTTTTTTAAATTCTACATATTTTATTCAATACAAAAAAATATAAATGTAAACCTCAAACTTCTCAATGAGAAAAATGTGCATAAAACAGTTTAAAACTATACAGAATTGATTTGAACTGTTTACATCAATTAGTTTTTAAGATACACTCATTTAAAAAAAGGGAGTAAAATGCCATATGTAAAATATTCAATTACATTTGTGGTCAAACAGATAACATTTAGCTTTTCAATATTGATTGAACATTGAATTGGTTAGAATATAAATTAAATAGACCCTGTCAGAACAAAATAAATATAAAATAAATAAATAAAGGCGATGAGCAGACGGAACTCGGTGCGTCCGTGTACTTTCATTTTGACATAATGGTGCGCGCACGTGTGTGTGTGTGTGTGTGTGTGGGGGGGGGGGTGTGCGTGTGTGTGAATGTGCTTGTATTTGCGAGTGTATAAACGATAAAGAAATTCTAGAATGAAGCAATGGTAAAAGACAATAATGATAAGAAGGAACATATAGCAGATGGGAGTCAAGTGCGAGTCAAACCTATTACATGAGTCAAACGCAGGGCCAAAAGACGCAGCTTCTGACGTCACTACATGCGACACAAGCTGGGGTCATAGTGCACAGGAAGCGATGTCGTGATCCGTCCATGGATCCGTCATCGGAAGACGCAACTATCAATTGCAGATCTATAGAACATGTGTGCAAAGACATGCAATGCATTTTTGTGTGTTTTTTGGAAACGCATTATTACAGACTCATTAGAGGGTGGAAACCGCGCAACATGAGCATGTTGAGGCTTGATCTGCCATAGTGCACCGAACGTGATACCTCAATGCGCCATCGGAAGGCGTTACTATCAATCGCAGATCTACAGATCATGTGTGCAAAGACGTGCAATGCATTTTTGTGATTTTTTTGAGAAACGAATTTTGCGCATTTTGTACAGACTCATTAGAGGGTGAAAACAACGCAACATGCGCATGTTGGAGGCTTGATCTGACCATTTTACATCTCTGGTTTTGAATGCAAAAAGAATGATTGAGCTAGCCACTTGGTTTCAGTTTCTATAGGCTGTTAAACAGACACACGCAAACCGGAGCGCCGACGCTCCCGTCGGTCTTAAAGGGTTGAGACAGTCCAGGGTTTGCTTGAAATTTGAGGCCAGTTTACAGTTTTTGGAGTCCACGTGTATGTTGAAATCACCAATAACCAGAATATTTGAGTGCGATGTACAGAGTGAGATCATGAAAATCATGAATGTCAGAAATGAAAGTTGGTTGTGGTTTGGGAGGGCGATAGACGAGGGCTATTGTTGCTGAAAAGGCTTTTTTGCAACTGAAAACCAGACTTTCAAATGAGCCAGTACTGGGCATAGACACAGGGGATAGTTCAATGTTGCTGCGATGTAAAACAGCTAGCCCCCCACCACAGCCAGTTGTACGAGCCTTATGAAGATATTTGTACCCGGGTGGGCAGGCCTCATTGAGGGATGAGTATATTCCAGGCTGCTGCCATGTCTATGTTAGACAGAGAATGTCTATCCCCTTATCCAGGATGTGGTCAAATATAAGTCCAGATTTGTTTGACAGGGACTGCACATTCAGCAGTTCAAATGTAATTTGAGGTCTAAAATCCAGTTCATTGATAGGGCGGAGAACCCTGTAATCCACTCCAGGTTTTACAGTGCACCATTTACACCCGGAATTATCTATGCCAGGAGTGGCGGTATTCTGATGACGCAAACAGTGACGTGTCATTTTCACGACGGGACGCGATGCCGACCAGAGGGATGGGATGGAGCTGTGATCACCGGACTTCGACACAACAAACCGGCGCCTTGATCCCCTATGGATGTATCGAGGTCGGTACGGAAGGTGCAGTTGCTGCAGGGGAGATGTTGCATCGAGGCGTCGGACCACAACATGACGCGTGCAGTGTTAGCGGCTAGCCGATATCCAGGTGAGTACCGGTGAAAAGCAGCGACACAAGCCAAGGTAATCCACAGCTTCCACGGTGATGGTATTCCATATGCAGACATCTGCTTGAAGGCAGAGACAATGCAGAGCCCGAAGTTGGTTCAAGGGCTCAGTGATTTGAAGCCAAAGTGTGGAGAAAACACTCTGACTTTTGCCGGTTTCAGCTTTCTATTAATGTAGTGATTTCGGCGACTACAGTAAGAATAGTACGGTAGGGCGGATTTGCAAATAATTTGCGGAGAGTTTGCAGAGAAGCGGCGAAAAACCAGCGCCAGCGTCCTCTCCCTAATAAGTAATCCCCCTTGTAATCTTCACTTCACTCTCCTTCACTTCACTCTCTTCCCCTCCCCCGTCGCTGAGAGTGGACCCATCCAGCCCGAGGACGATACCAATCACATCAGCGGAACGCTTTGAAAAATTGTCTCAGCTACAGCAGAGCTTGTTGACTGCTTTCAGCTGGGAGCACATACTGGAGATAAGCCATCCGTTTCCCCCATGGGCCAGGCACCAATTTTGACAAGCTGGGCTTCTCAGATCCACAAAATAAATCTCTGAGATGATATCTAGTCTTCTGGTGTAGTATGTACTATTTCTTCACCCCCCCAAGGGCATATTATAAGTAGGCATATTAGGATCCAGGACAAGTATTTCAGATGTCATGGCGTTCAGTTTACCCCTACGGGCAGTTGCTGGGACGGCACCATCAAAGAACAAAAAGCATCTTTCTTCATTAACGACCAAGTTGCTTTGTGTTCTGTTTCTTTAAAGATCTCTTCACCATCCAGCGATGAAAAGCTTGACCGTCTTGCCCTTTCATCTTTCTTCTTTTTGGATCTGTCACGTGCTGTTTGAACACGTCGAACCTCTCAAAACTAGTAAAACGGCTTCAGCTTCTGGCCATCGACTATAAAAAAAAAGCTTCTGGCATGCTTGCAGAGCTATATGGGGAGGCTGCAGACCTGGAGCCGGCAGTTTTATGCCCCTGACAGTTTTACGCCCCTGTTGTTCCTCACTGTATGATCTAACGTTTAACTTGTGTGAATGTGCACGCTTTTATAAAATGCCTATAGCCCAACCCCTTGGCCCAGAACTTTTTTTTTTCTTCAAGCCAAGTTTGTATTATTTTATACTTTCAGGACTCTTGCCTATTTTTAAGCTATTGTGTTGCAGCATATATAACTTTTCTGGTCCCGGACGAGCCCCCAATTGCCATGTGGCAAGAGTCTTGACAGTATAAATTATTACAAAAACAGAATTCTTTTAGGGACAATTGGTACAGAAGTATTAGTCTCCTACACACCCATTCTAATGGCTTGTTTCCACTGAGTGGTACGGTACGGTTCGGTTCGGTACGCAATTATTTGCGTTTCCACTGCCAAAAGTTGTGAATGGTACCAAAAAGCTGAACCGTACCGTACCACTTTTTGGGTACCCTTCCGTTGGGGTACCTAGCACAGTGAAAGGGTACTAAAAGGTGGAGTTAGACTCACTGCAGAATGGTGATTGGTGGACAGAGTATCGTCACTTGCGCGTGCTACAAGGGCATTAGAAGCATACAGTTGAAATATTATTTACTACTGTTATTGTGTCACGAAATGTAGTTTTAAGAGTTTTCAGGCAGGAAAGTAGTTTTTTAAAGCTCAAATCTGTGGTTTATTTATAGATTTATGATAATTTGACTGAGATCCATTTCAAGCGATCACCGGACGCTCGCGTTCGTGTCCCCCGCCTGGAACAGCCTTTCCTCGGCTAGTCGTTCTGATGTTTGCCGCTGACTCGGATGTCTCTGTAGTGGTTAAACATGAGTTATAGTTCGTCTTGTATAAACCTAACTGGTGATCTTTGGTCTCGTGAATCTATAATTCGTTCCCTGGCCAATAGTTTTGGCAGAAGGCTACGTGAAGTTTCATATCTTTGAGCGCTGAATTTGTATATTTGACTGACTGAATTGTTTCTTGATGTTATTTAAGCTTTACTGTATATCTTTTTGTACCTTTTACTTATACTTTTATAATGGCTATTATTGATAAAACTGAAATTCAACAAAAATAGATAGTTTTGTCATTTTTTTTATTTTATTACAAGATCATCTGTAATGTTGTTTATTGCAACATTTGTACCAATGCGAAATGCAATAGCCTAAATTACATTACATATTGCCTGGAATATGTTTCATATTTTTAAATTTAAACGAAAAGAGGCAGGGTTGTTTTATATTTAGTTTTGTTATAAATATAATGTTACATAGGCTACATGCAGTGAATATAATCAATAGGCTATGCGTTGCCTGAACCACATTTGTGTGCTTTAGAATGTTTAAAATGTATTGAAATGAAATCGAAAAGAAGCAGAGTGGTGTTTTTTTTTAACATATTTCGTTTTATTGCTGCCTAAGATGAACATACAGAGATAACCGGAGTCGCAGAGCCAGAGCGAGCAGAGTGCCGTGTTCAAGAACGCGCTGTTTCATTAACAGAAATACTGGACTCGCGTCCTCGGGATCATTCTCCTGAGTGGGACTTTGCGTTGGCTTCTTGGAAACGGCTAATGCCAGCGCTTGTTTCTAGTGACAAACATGCCAAAAAGCAAGAACAAGATCTGCTGTCTGTCATCCATTGTTGTTTAATACGTCGCTTTCGTCGCGCGAAAATGACGTTGATCGCTTCTTTCCAGCATACCACGCCTATCAAGTAGCCTGAAAGAACACTAGGGTATCACCAAAGAGCACACAACCAGAGAAATAGCAACAGCTGTGTTTGGGGAAGTAACTCTGAGACTTGTTAACGTCAGCTGATTTTGGTTTAAATTTTAATATCTGCACCTAGAGCAGAGTTTACTCGACTCAGAATGCTTACGTAAAGAAATAAATGTTGACATGGAAACACTGACCAATTCACATAGTATCCACCCTAAATGCAAGATTAAAATAATTGCCACAACTACTCTTTGTTGAATTCATGACCTCAAATTGATGAATATCATCATTTTTAAGCTGTAATATTTCTTAACGGCTGTACTTTTAAAGGTTTGTTCTGCCATTAGTCTTGCATTTTTAAGATGTCAAGTCAGAAATTGTAACTTTTAAAAATTGAAGACTCCTGTGTAAATTTAATGAAAATCTGTAGTGCACAATATAAGCTGAAAAAGTCTGAGTTTGGACCATAAGCGATAGCATTTCAGAATTTCCTGTAGTCTGGTACTATAACATCCTGTAAAAAATCTTTACCTGTTTGGTTCTTTTGGCCAGCAGGGCAGGGCTGCTGGACACACTGGCTCCTGCGGTTCTTGTACTAAGCGCTGGCCTCAGCTCTCGCGGACGATCAAACAACTCCAACCGTAAACAAGGGAAATTCTGATAACTGTGGAAAACACAGATGACTCATAATTAGAGCACAAAATAAAATCAAAGTGCAAACATAATCACAAATTTTAAATAAAATGTTTAGTCAATACAGTACAGAAACACAATACCACAGACAGTTTACCTAAAGGCCATTCCCTCCACATTTTATTTACTTCTTGTTACATATCAGATTTTTATTTTTGCAAATTTTTACAGATGAAAGTCATATTGTATGAAAGTACCGTTCTGTTTAATCCATAGTTTTAGTTTATATCAGTGTTTTGGTGTTCAATATGTTCAATGGGTGAAACTTTGATATTTATGGTCCTTTTGTTTTACTTTCTTGCACTGCAACCTTACCATTTTACTGTTCAATTTCACATTTACATTCTGTAGACATTTCACAAACTCAGTTAAAAGATGAACGTCTTTGTGTCATCCTGCTACACCTATAATTGCAACGCAACACAAAATACAATATTTAAAACAACCTTGGGATACAGAATGGTCATCATCATGACTCTACGAGACGGTAGAAAAACAAGGTTTTGTATGGGGGGGGGGGGGGGGGGGGGGTGGGAGATATTGTAAATAGTGCCAGCAGAGAGCAAAGTGCTTGGCCAAGTCTCAAGGCTGTACTGTGTGTGGAAAACAGGCACTCAATGTGAACCAATAGATGCATGGAAATAGATTATGGGCTTGTGCTAATGGATAAAGATGCTTTAGATGCGGGCTGAGGGAGATGGAGTGGTGAGACAATGGCAGCCACAAAAATTTCTGGACAGAAATTTCCAACAAACAAGTTGCCTTGAAAAGGAGTAACCACAGAGATGCAAATTGCCAAAAATGAAGAGTATTACAACAGGTACAGCATTTCTTTCCAGTCATTTATCTTCTACTTCAGTTACAACAATTATTATACGTCTGTAATGCTGCAAGAGCCTCAGATACTTTGGTCGTCTGCACAGCATATTAACAGTCTCCACACCCTGCAGAACGAAGATCAATCTTCTTTGTTGTTTCTCCACCACCAAATGGTTACATGCAAAATATAATGATCTGCTTAAATGCAAGTGATTTTCACAGAATGTTCATCATTTGAAATGTCTCAGTGTGACTGGTACAAGAGTCATCCCCCCCAAATGGAGATGAAATCATAATAAAGACTTGAGAGTTTAGGGATATGTTCCCTACTGCAGAAGGTGTGCCTTTTCCCAGGCTCTTGCATGTAAATTACCTCCGGTTTCCTATGAAGACGTGAACTCCACAGGTCTAATATCATATTGCAACTGTTTTGCAACATAATTCTAACTGTTAGTTCAAGTCTCCATTTTGAGAATGTTTCTCTTAGGAGTGATGAAAAAAAAATTGATTATTGATTAATCGCGATTATGTTATGGACAAGTATAAATTGATTATTAAAGCTGCAGTCCGTAGCTTTATTGTGTTAAAAATTATCTAAAATACATATTTGGGAAAATACATAACCAGCCAGTGTTCAACGATACTGCTTGCCATAGCTCGATTCAAAGCGGTAAACTTGTAATAATGTTTTTAATTCCAGTGGTACTGGTTGATTTCCATGGGAGATTTGAGCATGTCTTTGCGTCATGACGTCACATCTGTACACATAAAGAAGGAGTCTCGGCTAGTCGGCTATATTTCGTGTGAGGATGTTGGAGGTGGAGATTTATAGCCCTTTTCACACAGCACTTGATAAAATTAAACTTATCAATTTGAGGGCGGATCTAGAAAGGTTCAAATGACAATCACCATTGACAACTAGAGATTCACCTGCTGTAAAATGCAAAAGACTTCGTTCGGACTTCGGAGTGACTACAGAAAAAAAGAGACTGCAACCGGACCCATGCAAAAACAAAGATACATATTGGAAGGACATTACATGTAGTCAGGCAACGCTGACGTTGTTATCATTAACAAGTTGAGAACAAAGTATAATTTGCACAGTTTTACATGATAAGCGATTGTAAAATTTAATCAGTGCGATTTACTCTGCAATGTCAGAACCAGAACAAAAGTAGATGTTACTTGCTTGTTCAGATGACATTTTCCAGTGAAAATTATTATGTTAGTCATACAGTACTTTCCAAAAAGAATAATCTATGATTCTGAATCCCAGTATCCACACTAGTGTGGTGATTGACAGCTGCACACTCTCCTCAATGTGTTCATCCGCTCTTGTGCCGTGTCGAACTACAACGTCAAGTTGATAATTCCACGAATGACTGCAATTGCAGATTTCGAAACAGAGATGGTGAGAAAAAGGGGAAAATGTGGACTGCAGCTTTAGATTTTCAAAAATCGATTTTTTATTATTATTTTAAAAAAAATTGCATTATTTTATTTTGTAAAAAATGTTATACCGGAAGTTGAACATCACGAACGCGGCCAGTTCCAGTTAGCAAGCGTGTGTAACGGCAGCCAGAATGAGTGAGAGCAGGTGTGTAAAATGGAAGAACCAGGAACGAGCAACCAACCGATCCACCCAGCTCCATCTGGGCTCAAAGCAATTGAGCGATTGAACTGTGTGTGTGTGGGCGCGATTCATCTCTGAGTGTGTGTGTGTGTGTGTTTTAGGCTGCATTTACACTGCAAGTCTTGATGCCCAAATCCGATTTTCTGGCCATATCTGATTTTTTTGACGCCCTGCTTACATCATCTTTTAAAAGTGACCCATATCTGATTTTTGCATTTAGACTATACACAGCTGAAACTACCAAATGTAGACGTTTTGACCCGGAAAAGGGAGTAAAACAGCATGAAATGCAGTGTATGCAGATGCAAATAAAATTACCCAGTGTTTTGCTTTCCACAATATTCTGAGAAATCAGCAAAACATTGGTATCGTACAGTGGAGAAAAAGTGGAGAGCCCTTGTTGGCACTGTAGCCACGAGCGCTTAAAACCTTGCCTCCCCATCTCTCGTTAAATGTCTTCAAACGCGGATTTATTTCTGTAACAACCCTGCATTTTTGCCAGCACTCTTCGTCCCAAACACTCAAAAGACATGAAACATCCACATTGCTCCACCTTCATCCACCATCGCACCTATATTAAGTCATGTGATCTCAGTTGGTGGTGTCCATCAGAGTTGACGTCACTTTTTTAATGACGTACGACTCGCATTTACTGGGGAATATCCAATTTTGTCTACTTACATGGCACACGCAAATGCACGTGTCCAATTTATTATCACATATGAGTGAGGCCTGAATCCGATCAGAGAAAATCAGAATCCATGACCTTTTTTCCTGCTTACACGTTCACCGGTCATATCCGATCTGTGCCAAATAAGAGGAAAAAAAACGGATTTGGGTCACTTGAACCATGCAGTGTAAACGGGGCCAAAGTTCCCTTTAAGATGCGCGCGTGCACTTTTGAAGCAGCGGCCGCACAGAAAATAATAAAATGACACGCAGAGAACTGACGCGAAATGTGTGGTAATCCATTTGATTGTAGTTTAAGTGAAAAATGGATTAGATTAATGTTTATTTTGTCTTCTTAAAGTCCCCGTGAACCGGAAGTTGCAAACGATTTTTCTCCAGTGCTGTGACGTATTTCCAAGTGAAACGGAATATTGAACAGAGGGCAGGGTTTTACTCTAGCGCTCCTCCTCTCCATCTCTCGCTCATAGCAAACTAACAGTTTGAGGGGAGTGGTTAAGCGTTTCCCCACCCAAACTGTGAAACCTACGTCATCAGAAAAAGAAACCGTTCCAGACCGGAAGTAACTTTTCAGATTTTGATTAAAGATTACCAAGGTAAAACATTTTTTTAATATATATTTACTTGCACGGATTAATTGTTCACCACAAGACTAGTAATATGCGCTAACAAAGTAAATAATTTGATTTGCTCCGATCATATTTTGTAGCTATTTTTAAACATTCCCAGTGGTCTTTAAATTATGATTATGCCATTTTTAGCCAAAATCACAAAACCTGTGCCGTTTTCTAGGACTTCACTTCAGCAGAGCGGCAGTAGCTCATTAGCAATTCGCCTCTGGGTTGTGGGCGGAGCCGTTGGCACGGAGACGACCCTCCCCCTTCCCGTTACTGAGAGCTCTGTCTCTACCGCTAGCTTACAGTTACAAATTATTAGCAACTTAAATGTCCTATGAATTTATTAGTTGTTAGGTCTTAAATTCAGGCTATTGGTGTCTGATTCTGTTAGTTCACCTCACCTCCTGATCCGAGACATTCTTTCTTTTGCACCTTCATTTTTATCAGGTTTGTTCTCCTCCTCTCGTGTCTCGTGAGCTGTCATACAGCAGGACCGGAACGAGTAATGATTAGTTAATATTAGGAGTCTCGAGTTCGGGTTCAGTCGGGTCTGAGTCTTTCGTTCTTCCTCTCAGTCCCAAAGAGACTATGCTGTCAGTACCGGAAAGAGAAATGATTAGTTCATCTCTCGAGTTTTCGGGTTTGAGTCGTTCTTTTGTCACTTGACCGCTGGTATCTTGCATGAAATACAGCATTAGATTTGCTAAAATCTACACGATTCACTGAATCTACTCTAAAAATCTATCCAAGTTTAATTTCTATAGTATTGTCCCTTGAGAAGATATACAAAAATGTTTGCCGAAATTTGAGGTGTGTAGGCTACTCACTGTCGTGAGATACTGTATATGCTCACCAAAATGATTTTATACAACAAAAAAAAATTATTGTTCAATCTTCTTTCTTTATAATTGTTTTTCTAAATGTCTTTACAATGTAATATGGAGAGAGTAATGCAGAGTTCCAATAACTGTCAGTAGGCTGACAGATAGCAAGCCAGAGTGCTTTAGGAAAAGCTAAGAAAAAAAAAAAAAAAAAAAAAAATATATATATATATATATATATATATATAATTATATATATTGTTGACCATATTGATCAGCATTTTAATCAAACTCATGAGGGTTTGAAAATATTACGGGAGGTTCCTGTATAATATCCTTCTGACAAAAAATGTAAATCCAATTTTACATTTTTAAAAAAAATTAAAGTCTATTTTGTTATACATTTTAATTTAAAAACAAAAATAAATTGTAAAACTGCAATTTAGTTTTTAAATGTGGTGGGCATATCATGTGGTGCATTTGCATTCGTGATGGGCCACAGGTTGAGAACCACTGGTGTCATGCATATTCATTTATGCTCTGGTATTGGATATCATGACTCATGGGATTTCAGTGACATTGTGACATAAAATGTTGGTATTATGACATCCCTATGTATGTGTACCTGTATTTGGGAGGGGGGTCAGGACCATCGTCCAGAGGGGGTTCAGGAGGCATGACGAAGACTGTGTGCTCACTCTTCTGTGACTCATCCAGTTCCATCAGCCTGGTGTCCTCAGACGACTCACCTTCGACCTGTGCAATGCAGTTACAGGTTTAACATTTACAGGTCTTGTCATCAAAAGGGTATTATACATGAACCTCCCGTAATGTTTTTAAACCCTCAGGAGTTTGATTAAAATGCTGATCAATATCAATGCTGATCAATTCAGATGAAACTTCAAACAAAAATTTTAATATTGTGCAAAAGTTTATTTAAATTAGTAATTCAACTTGTGAATCTAGTGTAACTAATATATATTATATAGACTCATTACATGCAAAGTGAAATATTTCAAGCCTTTATTTGTTATAATTTTGATGATTAAGGCTTGAAATAGCTCACTTTGCATGTAAGGAGTCTATATAATATATTAGTTTCACCTTTTAAGTTGAATTACTGAAGTAAATTAACTGTGTATATATATTTGTAACACATTTGTTTATTTATTTTTTGCTTTTCCTTTTAACAAAGTACTCTGGCTTGTGTTATCCGTCCAATAGTATCCAGCTGCAGACCCGCAGCACACCAGTTTCAGAACCCCAGTAAGGGGCAGAGCTTAGATTCGAAACCTAATAACGCCACCTAACGTAATAGACCTTATTCAGAGCAGCGCCATGACGGGTATGAAAGTGAGGTGGTGAGGGGTAGTCTTACCGTGTTTCCAATGGCATCCGCTGTAAAAAGCTGAATAAAGTGACTAGATTACTTACAATTTTCCGCAGCTTACATTGTTGGGAGTTTTTTGTCAACTGACATTTCTTGGAAAGATATTTTTTCCAGTGTTTCATGAGCAGAACAATCCGAAAACACATTAAAAAACAGTACAGCCCATTGAAGAGATGCAAGTCTATCCCTCACAGCCTCGCTTTCATTCTCATTAAAAATCAAAGATGGCGCTGCCGTGAATAAGGCGTATTTGGAGGGTATTTTACACATGAAACAGCTTTTATTGAACATGAAACGTCCTATTCTCTATGTATGTATGTTATAATGCTACATTAAATTACAATAAGCATTTTAAAACATTGATTTTGTGTAATATAATTGTATATAGTTATCCATTTCATTGTATTATGAGTTACTTCCTGATCATGATGGTGAAAAAAATTATCCTTGAAACTTATGGGAATAGTTTAATTATTTTAGCTAAGCAGTTCAAACATACATGTATGTTTATGAAGGTAAGACCTTTGTTTTTGTTTTTAATGAAGGAGTTGTATAAGAAAGCTTTGAAAGATATATAAACAAGACAAGCCTTGGAGGTTTTCAAAATTATACACAATTTGATAACTGATTAGATCTCTGTGATATTTTATGTTCTATTTATTTATTGAGTTTACAAAAATCTTAAATTGTTTTGATATTGAAGATATGTATTTGTAAGAAGATTTTGATTGTTTAATTAAAAAAAAAACGTATGGGCATTTTTTATAAAATATACTTTATTTCACAAGAACATGTGCAGCATGGATTTTTTCTCATGTAAAATAATAATGTCAAAATCTAAAAAAGAGATAAAATTCGACATTGTTTTAAACGAAACAATAAAAATGTATACAACAAATGACCAATTCAACTCTAGGCCTGTTTTATCACAACAATCCTGTATAAATTTAACTTACAATGTATCAAATGTGGAATTAAATTAATAAATAAATCATTTTAATAATTTAAAATTATTTAAAGTAAATTAATAAGGCTAATTTTTTTAATTAATAAGGCTAATTTTAAATGAATAAGGCTAATTTTAGACCTCCCCATTAGAACTCATCTGGAATCTTCCCACTTTGAAAAGGTGGGATGGTTGAAAGTTGAGGATCGGGCTTCTCAGATGCAGCTGGGTATGGTACAAAAAATCGTTTATGGAGATGTTCCTAAATATTTTAGAAATTATTTTAATAAAGTAGACGAAGTTCACAGGTACTCCAATAGGGGTAGCTCAACTGATTTTGTACCCCCCAGATTTATTACAAATCTGGGCAAACAGTCTTTTCTTTATGTTGGAACTACCCTTTGGAATCGGTTACCTGGTGCACTGAAGACAGTAAGAAGTATAGGTAATTTTAAACAAGGTCTGAAATTATGGTTTAGGGGCCAAATGTAGTTTTTATAATACCAAAGTTTATTTTTTTTTGTATAATATGTATGAATTTGGTTAATGTTTGTGGATGATTGATGTGTGATGTGTTGCCACTTGACTTCTTTATAAGGGACCACAATGGAAATAAGTCTTCGGGCTTTATTGTGTTATCCCTGACTACTTTTGTATTTGATTTTAATCTATGAAACAGTTTCTTACTGTTTTTCATAATTTTATATTTAAGTGGTCAAATAAAATCAATCAATCAATCAATCAATCACTCACTCTCAGACCCATTTTGTCCTTAGATTCTTGCAAAAATAACTATAATGCAATAATAATAATTCCGCCCCTCCCTCACTTCCGGTTCTGGTGCTGGGGTTCTGAAACTGGTGGTGCTGCGGGGTCTGCAGCTGGATATATCTCTATCCGTCAGCCAAAAGAAAGTTCTCGGAGCTTTCCATTACTCTCTCCATATTATTCCCATGCAAAGATTGTTTAGATAAATGATGTGCCAATGCACCCAACAGCAGATGGCAGAGTCAATTATTTACTCCACTAAACCAGTTGCTCAGTGTAGGAAGAGTAACGGCCACCTGTTCCTACAGTTCCCTTAACTGTAGAACTAAGACTAATGTCCTTTATTATAGTCTTTAAAAATGCCATTCAATAACAGCACTTCAATAACAGTCAATAAAACAGAGGCCACATTAATCATCAGCTCCATCTGCTGCCATCATGGTTTTTACTCTAAACATATCCTGGGCAGCTTGTGTTTTCTTTTGCTTTGCCTTACATTGGGCGTAACACTAATTTGATAAAAAGCATGACACAGTAACACCTTACTGAAAGGAGCGGCTCACCTTTGTACCCTTGTCCGGTCCTTTGTCGGAAGGAAAAAGCTGAAAGAGAGATGTGGGAAATAAATTCAATCATAGGAAATTCTACATCCTCTGTTCTTACCATTGGGCGATAAGCTAAGATTAGTGCTTCAGAAACTAAAATACAATTTTTTATAGCTATATTATCATTATTATTTTACATTTTCTTAAGAAAATGTGAGTGGTGCCTAGTGGTAATTACCAAGCCGCTGTATGAAGGTGGATGTTCAAGGTGGTAGCCATGCTTTTATGTAGTTGCTCAGGAATTTTAAGAGTTTGTTAACACTTTAAAGGGGTCATATAATGCCATTTTTGTACAAGTTAATATGAATGTTTAGGGTCTAAATTAAAACTTTGTAATATACTTTTATTAAAAATTCTCATTAGTATTTTAAGAAAACACTAATTTTACCTGGTCAAAATCAGCACTGTTTTCAGCACGCCGTTTCAGTGCATATGCCTTTAAATTATAAACCCCGCCCCTCTGTTCTGCGGGCGTTTAGACACAGCGCACGTGAAGTGTAGTGTTGCATTGACAACAGCTGAGGGATATTTTGGTGAAAGAATGGCAGCAGGAATCTCTGAGGACACATCTGTGCAATCGTATCAGTTTAAACTGGAGTCGCACCCGGAACAAGATGACGGCCACAAAGTAGTTCGACAATTAAGGCTTGAACAGAACGTTTCTGAATGGTTGGTTAACGTAATGTCACTTTGATCTATCTTTGTATGCACTGGCAGGGTAGAGTAATGAGATACGAACGGCTGTGTTTACTGATGTATACGTTAGTTCATTGACAGATTGATGTTACTACTAATGGTCATGAAATTTTTTTTCCCGCAATTTGCAAAGATTAATATAAAGGTTAATAACACTTTACACTTACTTCTGGAGGTGCAGAGGGAACATAATTAGTTGGTACCGATTATTTTTTCAGGAGCAGTTTCTTAGCAAAACCAGCTTTATACTCACCCTCGTTTATAAAGCAGTCTGCTGAGAAATGATTCGCGCAAACATGAAAGTATTGACGTTGATCGTGGGGAATATTCCCATCGTAAACAAAACTCAGCCACTGCGTCTTCAGCGGTTCAAATTGGAACATCAAAATGATTTCTGTGTTTGTTATTGCACCCAAGAACAGAACAACACAATTGCTTAGACGCCATTCTGAACCAGTGTATCAACAATGAAGGTCTATGACAGCTCGCTCAGGGCGGGTCTGTGTCGAAACACTGCTGTCAATCAACAACCGTGGGAGGGGCGTCATGTGCAGTGTGACGTCACACGGTGAAACGGCTCGATTTGAGACAGGGCAATACATATAAGGAGATTAAAACAAAACCACTGGATGGATCTGTATCATTAAATGATGGTTGTGTACAGGCACTGCCAACACACATTTCAGTACAATCAACTTGTAAAAGTGCATGTACCATTATATGACCACTTTAACAAACTCATAAATGTTGTTGCAAGGGGTTCTAGGTAGTTTCCAGTCCTTTGCTATACAGTTGCCAAGTTGTTCTGAGCCATTGTAACAAATTGCTTGGTGTTCTAGGTGGTTGCAAGGATAAAAGCGTCTACCCCTAAAGTCTCCATTTTACTCTGATCCCTAGGGAAGACTGTTCTTCCTTCACCGCAAATCTATGGAATTTTTCAGGTTGTTTTATTATCCAACTGGTAAAAAATGTAGAATACGCAAGTATGAGCAACAGTAATGATACTGTTGCACCACTAATAACAAAAATATATTTTAGTATATTGTATTATACTACAGAATAGATTTCTGCATGCGCATTGTTTTTTGCACATCTTACTTTTCCAATGCAGTCATCGAAAAAAGCCAGGCCGGTGTCTTTGTCGCTGACAAAAGTACATTCCTCGATGAAGCGGATGAAGATCTGAGTCTTAGTGAGCTGAGAGTAGAACTTCTGATGAGCACGATCTCTGCTTTTCAAGAATCCTAAAGGAAGAGACATCAGCATTAGTCAATAACAAATCAGTTACAATAGCTCATTACTTTGGCAATAATTACACTTTACATAGGGACTGTCGGACATGTCTTGCTATCAATTTTAGTCCAGGGGCTTGTTCTTCGTACGTCGCTAACTCAGTTAGCTGGATTTGATTGTTGGCGATTTGCCATGATCTTGGATCGTTTGGTTCTTCGAAGCTCATCCTGGACTTGCTGTCATAGCAACAGGTCCGTCAGCTTGAACCTGCTCGCGAGCAGGCTTATTTCATGTAAACAGGATTAGATCGCAGCTGATACGGGAAGTCCTTTAGCGCAGCGCGATAGTGTAGCCTAATTTCTGAGATTTATTTATTTTTTTCTCGTGAAACAATCGTCGTGAGGGTGTCGTTTAAATACATTATTATTTTGTTGGAAATGCACATTAATGTTCGATTCAATGTCGGGATTCAACAACAGCACAAAATGTTTGCATTGCCCTAAAATTATTTGCGAGTGGTTTCCTTTACACTATTGGAGATGCGGAGAACTTGATAAGCTTTCTGTCGTGCCATTTACAAAGTTTACCTAGCGCTCTTAGTTTGTTTTTTGTTTTTTTGCCAAATTAGGGTAAATTATAATTTTTAATGAAGATAATGCAATCATGATGACCATGCCGATTATGACTTACAGTCCCTCAGGCTTAATTTACGTGATTGGTGCCATTGCTTGCTTCTGATTGATTGCTCCTGTCTGCCTTGCTGCTGGTTTGCGCCTGTAAGCTCCATATTGACCATTTCACAAGATGTAAACAACACTGGTCCAGAAGCACTTCCTGTTTCAGTTTGTAACTGTTTTCTTTATTTCACATGTAAAGAAAACATCTTAAAGATGTTTGTTTAACTTTTTGATTCAGTTTTATATGTTCTGTTGGTTGTATTTTATCCCAGCTTTTATGTAGTGTTAAAAAACTGAAACAGGAAGTGCTTCTGGACCAGCGTTGTTTACATCTTGTGAAATGGTCTATAGCTTTCTGTTTTGAACCTCTATTTACAATAATTCCTTTTTGCTTATATTGCTAAATATAACTTACGGTACTCATCAACATATATTAGATATAGTCTATATCACATTAATCTGACATCCCTAGGCTAGCTTTTTTCTGAATCGTTATCGCTAGCACAACACGCTGGCTAGCATCTTGCTAGCCTGTTAACCTACCATCCTTGCTTGACGCCTTTTTTCTCTTGCGCGCTCTCGCTTTATATGAGTGCACACATACTCTGTAGACTGCACACATGTTCCCATTAAGGCCTCAATGAAGGGATTTTGTGAGCAGAAAGGGGGCTTATGTAAATGTGCAGCCAAATGACTATTACAATTTTTAATATTCCAGATTAGGAATATTATATCACTTTTTTAAAAGGCAGTTGACAGAGTAACATCTCTTAGATGGTGTGTGTGACCATGTTCCATATCACAAATCAGTGTGAAAGCAAAATGGCCAGGATCTGTGCATGACTCAAGAATTTTAAGAGATTCACATTTATGAACATTATTTGAACATGGTAAGGAAAATTATTAATATCAAACTCACTGTATTACATACACTTATGCTGAGAACTGCATTTTTCCAATATACAGGTGATTACAACAGGATCCTGCATGGAGACAGGTGTTTCATGACCCCATTCCCTGACCCAAACCCCAGACCAGTTACAATGCAGCTCTAGGGCAAGGGCACACAATGACATGAGCTTTGGCCAACTAAAGGGAAGATTTCAGGGTCTAAAAAGCCTGAGGGTTGCACCTGACAGGGCCTGTGACATTGCATGTGCCATATTACACAACACTGCCAACATCAGAAAAAGAAAAAAATATGTTTAATTAAGCCTAAAATAAAAGACAAGACAAAATTGCAAAACTCTATTTGCTTAGAGTTTTATTTCAATAGTTCTTTGTAAAGAAAAGACAGTTATTCAGTCATCTTTTTAAAAGAGATATTATGCAAGGTCAGCAATAGTACTCTGTGTGAAATAGTGTATTTTACTCTAAAGTTTATTTTGAAGCAACTCTATTTCTAGTGCAATTTTTTCTAAGTTTACAAGTCAAGTTCTATTTCTCCCCCTGATTTTTGTTTTTTTCAAAATACTCTATTTTCTGTTGAAGACTCATATAGGGAACGAATTTAACCCTGTGTCGTTTGTGTCACACATGCCTCATGCAACAAATAAATAGGAAAAGTTGTCTCTACACTGCCCACCCCTGTATCACTGCTGTGTGCAGACCCTTCTGTAGGCCTTTCTGTACATGTGGACTCCTGTCAGAAATAATAGGCATATGCACAAGTAGAAATCAATTAAAGCCATCAATTAAATTAAAGTACTTCCTCCAAAGGACAGTCATCTTTTTACTTTCACAAGACAAAGCAATTTATCATTACTCAAGATTTAACAGTTGAAATGACTAAACCAGCCAATTTGGATTATATGAGGTCAGATAAATCCCATCATATCCCATCACACTCCCAAACTCATTTAAGGATAAAAATGTAATTGATGTTCAACAAATAAAAACAGATATAATACAAAAAAAAACACTTCAAAAACACTTGAGCACAAAAGCACATTGATAATGATATGATCACAGATTATGACCTAGATTTGCTGTGTTTGACAGAAACCTGGCTAAAAATGGACGATAACATTACTTTAAATTAGATTATTAGCTAGATTATTGTTATAAACATGAGCCTCATCTGAAAGACAAAGGGGAGGTGTTGCTGTAATTTTTTAGTAATATCTTCAGAATTACAGAGAAGTCTTGTTTCAAATATAACTATTTTGTGTTGGGGCTTAATATAAAACTATCTAAATGTAAATGGTAAATCACGTTTGAGATTTGTGCTGGCTACTGTATACAGGCCACCAGGCAACCATACAGATTCTAATCAAAGAATTTGCTGACTTTCTATTAGAGTTAGAACTGACTGCAGATAAAGTCCTAATTGCTGGTGATTTTAATATACATGTAGATAACGAAAAGATGCTTTGGGATTGGCATTTAAGGACATTCTGAACTCTAGACAACAAATGTCAGGACCTACTCATTATCGTAATCATACTCTAGATCTAATACTATCACATGCAATCAATGTTGATGCTGTTGAAATTTTGCAGCAAGGCTAGATTATTGTAATGCTCTACTGGGTGTATAGTAGGGTTGGGGTAAACGATTATTAACTAAACGATTAGTTGGGCGATTATTTTATCGATTAGTCGACTAATCTAATGACTAATCGGATGACTAATATAAAGAATATTTTTTTCTGCTGCTCAATTAATAAAAAAACAATATCTTAAATAAATACTAGCATACTGAATCAAGATACTATAAGCTGGCTAACGTTAGTCTAATGTTATGTATTTGAACACCATCATTATAACTCTACAACCGCCAAAACCGTGTTATTAAAATATTTTTTACAAACATTTTATCATAGAGAATGTTTAAATATTAATATCAGCTGAGGAGGGAAACGGAGGCGGAGTTAGTGGTGCGATCGGAGGCTGCTACTACTGGAGATGAATCGGGAGAGGTTTGTGCACCTACTGATCAGTTCAGAGCGCATGCTGACACGGAGTAAAGCCTTGTTTGTAGTCGACACGCCCACACGAGCGCGAATGTGCGCACGGCAAAAATTACGTGTTGGGTGCGCAAGACCAGGAAGACTGTGGCTGGCTGTGTGTACGCCTTTTTTTGTAACAGTGCGCCCGGCGCCGCGTCCGGGAACAACTTCAAGCCGAATCTGCCCGAGTTTGTACGTCTCACCACACCGGCACCCAGTTTGCGCATCTAAATTGCAATTTTTTTTCTTAAGGGTTTGTTTACTTTGTGTGATTCATTTAATGGATAGCACATTCACTTCTAGTTGTCTTCATCCTCTATTCTGCAATGTTTCGGTCTCCCACGTGTGTGTGGCAAGCTGTACCGCCGGGAACATGCAAAAAATAAATAAATAAAGAAGCGTCGACGCAAAAATATGACGTCGACGCAATTTTGACATCGAATCATCGACGCCCCGCTACAGCACTAGTGTATAGAAACAATCTATATTGTTAAAAGCACAATATGAAATGAAGGTAAATTGACTACACAGGTATCAGCTGTAGGAGTTACCTTGCAGGTCATAGAGTGAGTCTGCAGCAGTAGCTTTATCAGAAGGTGCCTGTGTGATGGGTTTGAGGTAGGTTCGGTAGCCCTTCAGTATGGAGGCCATAAAGCGCAGGAACACCTCTTGGATCTCCATCTCTAACTCTGTCTTTTTTTTATGCCAGGTGAAGTCTGCCTCAATAGGGGTCATCTCCACTGCCAAGCCTTCAAGTGCTTCACGCCGAACTGTATGGAAACAAATGCTCAATGCTTTTATTTTTTAAAGAATTTTATGATATTTTCGAGATGCCGCAGAGGGCAATATTTTCAGTGAATAATAACGCTATAAAGGTGAAAGGAGATCTTACCAGTGGCAAGCTGCAGGTGCAGGTTTCCTAGAGAGTTGATAAGACTTTTGCAGGGCTTCTTTGGGAGATTCTTCCAGTTACTGTGTTTTTTTTCATCAAACCTAAAACAAACACATTGCAAATATGAAGGGTAAAAAAAGGCAGAAAATAAGCATGCATAAAAAATTAAATAAACAAAAAAGCACAAATAGAGCAGTAAATTCCCAAATCTTAAATCTTATTCCTTAAATCTTATAGATTTTAGGGTGCTCACAAGTATATAGTGTTGGTATCCAAGTCCACACAGACCACGTCGGGTGGGGGATCGTAGAGGTCAAAGTATCTAGAGTCAACACCCACAATGAAGGGACATGGTGCGTTGAGGACCCCCGCCAGAGACAGAGGGCAAAGAGGGATATACGGACACTGCCACTGGAATGGGAAGATCATCTGCAAGGAGTATGATAATGATGATGATGTCCTATTTAATCAATAATATAACAAATAAAAACACACACACACACACACATATATACATGTATATAAAAAATTTGCTTTGCAACCATAATTTCCAATCCTCATTATGATTATGGAGAATGCAGCAGACTACCATAATCTGGTAGCCTAGTAATCTAGACGCACCCTAGCGGCAGAAAAATTATTTTGCAGCCAGTGTGGTCTAGCAACTCGCCATTGGCTTGCGAGCTGGAAACACCAAAATCTGGTCAGGCCAATCACATCGTGTATAGAGTTGGTGTGCAGGGTTAATATAATGACAGCTGAGTTGTGATGGTTCCACATGATTTCCATAGGTGATTTCCCTGCTACTTGAAAACAAAGAAGCTGCTGCCGGCGAACAGCAGTCTTTCGAATCGGCTTTGGCCACGACTCTGGAGGACTTGGAGTTAAGAGAATGTCACTTATGTCATTCTTAAAAAAGGAAGATGTATTCTGAGTTTTGACGACCGGATACGGCAAAAGTTTAATACATCAACTAGCTATGCTGGTGGGAAAACGCATGGGACTCACTCATGCACAGCCATTCGTTTCTCTGGTTAGTTGTAGCGCTATCCTATTGTGTGCAGAGGGATTTTGAAAGACAACTGTTTATCCCACCTCTCGGATTGAGGTATGCCAATTGTGATAGTGCCATCTTGATGTAGGTCTGGCTTGCCAGGCTAATAATCTGGCATTCTTTACCAGGACTATAACAGCATCACTACACCACTGTGATCAGGCAATCTTTAGAATGCTTTATAAGAATAAATGCAAATGTTTTTTCAGTTAAATATTGTAAAAGTGTAACAGTGGCCCAACTCTTCAGTGAATAATAATAAATAATAGTAATTCATTATATTTATTTAGCGCTTTTCTCTGCACTCAAAGTGCTTTACATAGAGGGGGGGAATCTCCTCACAGCTTACTGGTGGAGAGAAGACAGTGTGTGTGTGTGTGTATATATATATATATATATATATATATATATGAAGAGTTCAGATGCAAAAGCCTCTAAGTGCCATTTGAAATTTTCTTCTTTAATGATGATTTTTATCAAACTTGTATATTTAAGTTCAGTAATTTCACTTAAATAACAATTAATAGGCAATTATCATTGCCATTTAAGTGAAATCACTGAACTTAAATATACAAGCTTGATAAAAATGATCATTCTAGAAGAAAATTTCAAATGGCACTTAGAGGCTTTTGCATCTGAACTCTTCATATATATATATATATATATATATATATATATATATATATATATATACACACACACATGGAGCAAATTTGGCCAGGATGCCTGGGTTACATGAAAGACATCCTGGGATTTTTCATCCGGTGCTCTTTGACAGTATAGTGTCCCCATTACTATACTGGGGCGTTAGGACCCACACAGACCACAGGGTGAGCACCCCCTGCTGGCCTCACTAACACCTCTTTCAGCAGCAACCTGGTTTTCTCAGAAGGTCTCCCATCCTGGTACTAACCAGGCTCAGCCCTGCTTAGCTTTAGTGGGCAACCAGTCTTGGGGTACAGGGTGATATGGCTGCTGGATTTACCCTCAAGTATTTTTTTTTTTTACCAAACACTCACCGCCACAACGGCCTCAGCCACTCCAGTCAGTACAGCTGGTCTCAGAGAGTGCAACAGGATCTTACTTTCCAGCAGGACAAAGTGTAGCAGTGTAGCACAGTTTTCTGGTCCCAGATTCATGAGCAGTGTACCGTAGTCTGCTCCACTGAGAATGGAGAAGAGGAAAAGAGAGAATGGGAGTCTATGTAACCAAAAAATCTGATGCTAATTTTACAGAAGTGGTTTTAATTGGTGGAAGAAAGACAATTTAATATACACATACTTCTATACAGTACAGAACATTCAACATAGATTGTCATTCTTCTGATAGGAGAACATTCAACAGCACCATTTAAAATATATTATTATATATTCATTCACTTCAACTTCACTCCAGAGGGTTTAAAAATAAAAATGTGTATTTAGATGGTATTTTTGTTATATATAAATTGTTTTATGTGTTATCTGAGTTATGCTGAATAGTATATATAGAGTGTATATATATTTTTTTTCTTTACTGGACCATTCACACCAAAGACAATAATTATAACAATAACAACATTATCGCTCACTAACACACAAATGATGGGTTACAGTTATGTCGCCTGCTGCTTTAAATGCTCAATCTCTTTAAAAGGTGGATTCTGATTTGGCTGTCCATCAGCTGTAAAAATCATTTATCGTTTAACTATAGTTTCATTAAAGTGATCTCATATAGTTATTGACCTTAATGAGAACAGGCCTTAATAGTGAAAATACTGTTCTAGGAAGAACTTCTGATTATGTTCTGCCAGTGTAATTTCGGTGTTTGGAGTTTGCTCCATGTAATCATTAATTTGTGGATAGTTATGTATTGTGTGAAAGCTACCAAGATTACTGGCTATGACTTTTTTTTAAAAACCTTTTAAAGTCTATCTCGATGCAATGCCTACCCAATAGACTTCCACTGTAACACTTGCAGTAGTTATGAATACAAATCATTTGTTAAAGCAATGTTGTCGATAGAATTTAAAGGAGCTTTACAGGAACTTCAGTGGTGGAGCCAGATGGGTGTCCAGGGCAGCACTGACATTGATTGGCTACCACCACAAAATTTAATTTGCTACAGACAGTTTGATGCTGATTGACATTTCTTTACACCTCTTGTTTTGATTTGACACATTGTTTATGTATATTAACACTGAATAATAAGAGAATATTAACAGTCACAGTGTCACAAGTTATGGTATAGGAATGTTTAGCTAATGTGGACCACACTATCTACCACATTAAAAAACTGGTTATAATTATCACCTCTATCTCTAATCAGCAATGCTAGGATTCATTCATGCTTTTTTGATGCAAAAATTAGGGTTACACACTAATTTTTTACATGATCTATGGGCCCCCTGAAGTAGCCAAAGCCACCCCTAGCCACCCCATGTGTAAAAACTCACCTTCATATTAAAACAATTTTGTGTGATGTAATATGTAACAGTATACAAAACTGTGGGTTTAATGACCCCTTTCACTTTCTTAGAACACTCATTTAAGTGGTCAGAGAAGTTCATGGTCAATTTTTTTTTTTTTTTACTTTTTTAAAAAAAAAAAAAGCCAATGGGAACTGAAACTGGTTACCGACATTCTTCAAAATATCTCCTATAATGTTCCACAGAAGAATTTGAAGATGTTTCAGAAGATGTTTAGAACAACATGAGGGAGAGTAAATTACAGAATGTACAATTTTGGGTGGACAATCCCTCTCTGATCTTTAAACCACCACCACTCCAACTTGAAGAAAAAACTAATGTGTCCTGCCATAGTTTGATAATAAACTGAAAATATTGTTTACACTTCTAATAATGACATAAAAAGGTCTCTAACAGTTTGTTCTGTGCATTGCTCAGAGCATCTGGCAATCAAGCTAAAAGCAAAATCGTGGGATGGATTAATGCACTTTTCAAAATGCCAAAGAATAAAGTCAGTTGTGCAATGTGATGTCAAAGAGGGACTCAATAATCTTACAAAATTCTGTGGGAAGCAGCCCATGAAAGTGTTCAAAAAAGAATAAATCAATTAAACTCAAGTAAATGCCCCTTGTTTCATATTTCATTATCTAAAGAAACAGTATGTCTATTTCTCAATCACACAGAAATCATTTACCTTAATGGTAAAGGTGTGCAAACAGGTTGGGACAGGATTAAGGTGTCATGTGCTGACAGCTTGTCGGAAGGAAAAAACAAAACAAATATATGATTACAGAAGACTTAAGCAATAATATATATATATATATATATATATATATACATATACATAAAACAGACAGTCCTTACCTGGACCAGTATTCTTGGCCTCTGGGGTGAAGGGAAAGAGACATTGTGCATAAAGTGGGATATGTGTCTGAAAAAACAAAAAACAAAAAAAACAAAAGTATTAACCCAGCTCGTTTCTCGATATCACAGTCAAACAATTAACAGTTTTGTTAAAAACACACATAGGTGATTTACTGCTAATACAGAAATACTGATATCCCAGCTGCAAAGCTGATATCTAACAACATTATGTCTTGGTCTAAGTGTCAGTTACAGACAGCAATAGTTACTGTGAACTCTGATGTTCACTTTTCACTAAAATTATTATTTTTTTCTTTTTTCAAAACATATAGGTCTGTCTATGTATGTAGGCTGCATTTAAGGCCTTATAGACACACTCCTGATTTAAAGGCTTTTAGGTAGGAGGTAAGGTAGGAGTAAAGCCAAGTAAATATATATCCAATAAAATAAATCCAGTATATATAAATATAAATCTAAGATGGTGGACAAAGAGAGAGAAATACTGATTATAAATATTCCATGAAACACTAAAAATTAAATTAAAAAAATAATCTAAATCAATCTGTACTATTTAACCCAATGTTTTTTTATGATTATTAGACTACACTATAATTAGCTTAGCAACATGTTAATGTTATATGAGGCCAGAGTCAGGAAGAGGGCAGCTAAAATTGCTGCTGATCAGTCCCATCCAGCAAGTGACATTTTTAGGCTGCTTCCTTCAGGAAGAAGGTACAGAGCAGTGAGGACAAGGACCTCAGGCCATCTGAATACTTTTTTTCCAAGAGCCATTTCTCTTATGAATAGATAATTTAGCACTATTTGGACTATTTTATTATAATTATAGACATGCTTTTTGTATATACGCATATGTTTGTGTGTGAGTTTGTGTGTAACTGATGGCCATATCAAATTCCTGTGTATCTGCTGATGCATTTGGCGAATAAAGTGATTCTTGATGTTAAATTCTATTAGAATTATATTGTGTCACAGTAACAATCTATGCACAGCTTTTCAAATCAGTCACTTATAAGATTCCATGATTGGTTATGCTGTCTTGGAAGAGAATTGCCTGTTCATTAGGTTTTGGATTCAGACTGTGCAAAATGTTGTCAATGTCATTTAAAAAATATACATTACTGAATATACTGTAAAATAGCTGTGTCCCAATTAGCGCTGTACGATTTGGGGAAAATATCACATTGCGATTATTGAGGTAAATTTTGCGATATTATAAACAAATGGTTTCATGAGTCAACTTGCTTCGATCTCAAGGAAAATGCACACACATATTAGTGTTAATACTGAAATGTGTATTGCTCAACTGTAGAAGTATGTTGTGATTGTCAAAACATTTGGTAACTAAACAGAATTTTGTTAAGTTTAGTGACAACATGTTACAATGTTTACATGGTACAATGACTGGTAGGCTCATTGTAGGCTGATTCATTTGGTTTTTATTATGGCTATTTGGATAAATATTATGTACAGTAGATGCATGTTAATTTTTATCAAGAAAAAAAATCTCACCCTGTCAGCTGGTATTATTAAAGGTTAAAAGGTTAAAATACATGGCACAGTCTAAACTGAAACTGACTGGTCTTCTTTTTATTAGCAGTGTAGAAAATGTGCAAACAGCTCTCAGAGAGAATGGGTAGTCATGTCCACACATGCACTTATTTATCTCATAAAACTGCAGCATTTTGCATCATATAATCGCATAGGCTTGATATCAAAATTGCGATATGATTAATCGTGTAGCACTAGTCCCAATTCAGAGGCTGCATCACAGTAGCGTGTCCTTCGAATAAGGACTTCAATTGCGTCCTTTGTTTCCCAGGCAATGAATGATACAACAGATGGATCCTTCATAGCCTAGCCTGTTCCAAGATTCATTGTGCATCGGTGAGGTCAGGATTTTTTGAGAGAAAATGCTGGATTACACTTATGTAAGTATTGAGTTTCAACTTTCTCGAATACTTATCGATACAAATGTAAAAATAAAAACTTCGAATTAAAGGTCCAAATGTTGACTTGCATCTTAATAAGATGCAACTTTATATAAATTATACTCTTTATTATGAACAAAAAAATGGACCAAAGGCTAGACCTCCCCTTCTTCGAAGGATGCAGCCTGTAAATTGGGACCAGTGTTGGGTGTAACTAATTACTAAGTAATTAGTTACTGTAATTTAATTACTTTTCCCTTGAAAATGTAAAGTAAGGGATTACTCTTCATTTATCTGTAATTTAATTACAGTTACTTCTGATGTAACTGAGGTAAATACTTCTCCACCTTGGTCAGTTTAAGGATAATTCATGCAATTTTATAGCATTTATTTGAAAGAATTAAAACGGCTGTATATCCTTGTATTATTCAGCTGGTTGAGATTGATATGGGATTTTGACAGTAATTAGTAATTAAAAGTAATTAAATACTTTTTAGAGAGAGTATTTAGTACAGTAATCTAATTACACTGTTGAAGAGGTAATTAGTAACTAGTAATTAATTACTTTTTTTAGAGTAACTTACCCAACACTGATTGGGACACAGTTAAAGTGTACTGTTTAACACAAAAGTCACAAAAGTTAAGTTGAAGTAAGAATCTGTTTGTACTTCTCAATGGGCAGAGGGTTGACTCCATTGGCTGACAGCTTGTAAAGGAACATGAGGAATTTCTTGAAGGACTCAAAGAAAGGCCAGCGGGACAGTAGGCAGATGCACTTGTTGGTGTTGACAGTACGGTTGGGTATGACCTTTTTTTCCACAGTGGAGACCAGACCCAGCTGGATCTTCTGTTTCTCAGTGAGGCTGTCCACAGGATACGGCTCATAAAACTGTATTCCTGCACCATACACCTGAAGATGAAAAAAGAAATAGGACCTGAAGAATCACACAAACTTTTTATAAAACTACTTTTGTAATTCAAACCCATGTCATCAATTAATCCTGAACAGATTTAGGTAGCATTTAATATCTTCCAGCTAACTAAGGTGCTGTTAAAGGAGAACTCCGGCGAACAATGAACCTATGGTCTAATAAAACATCGGTACATAGTCAACCGTTCTCTGAGATTTGTTTTCATGATAATCGAATGTAAAGAGTTTTATCACTAAAAACTGTTTAGCGTATAATGCTAGTAATGGGGGCATTGACTAAGTAAAAAGAAATCGCTAGTTTATACGTGTCCAGCCTGTGTCCAGCCTCTCACGGGGATTTCGGATGCCCCAACGCCTGTGATGAGACGACTCAACGCCTGTGAAGAGACGACTCAACGCCTGCGATATGTTATGGCGCCGTTTGATTCATAAACAATATTTATATTTAATATTTATATTTAAACAATATGAATGTAAGCCAGAGGAGAACTGGCCCCCGACTGAGCCTGGGTTCTCCCAAGGTTTTTTCTCCATCCAATCTGATGGAGTTTGGTTCCTTGCCACTGTCGCCTTGCTTTTGGCTTGCTTTGAGCTTGCTCAGTTGGGGTTATTTAGTGTTTAGCAATGTTGTTGATCTGTGTTGTGCTACTTTCATGTTATCACTGTGAAGCTGCTTTGATACAATCTGTATTGTGAAAAGCGCTATATAAATAAATGTGACTTGACTTGACTTATACCACTAACAAGGCTCAAAATAGCCCCACACTAACGCAGTAACATAATGAGGCTCCATACATGCAAAACGAAGCATTGAGAACTTTGTAAGTGTACAAACCGTTTAATAAGAAGATACTTTATTAAGACAGTTTACTTTGCGTATACAGACAGGAGCCATCTTAAAAAATAGTCTCGATAAGTTGATCTCCGAACGCCGTTCATACAGTTCAGATCACTCAGCACGACGTTCGTGGTTTGACTTATCGAGACTATAACACGAAGTGAACTGTCTTCATAAAGTATCTTCTTATTAAACGGTCTGTACACTTACAAAGTTCTCAATGCTTTGTTTTGCATGTACTGTATGGGAAGCCTCATTATGTTACTGCGTTAGTGTGGGGCTATTTTGAGCCTTGTTAGTGGTATAAACTAGCGATTTCTTTTTACTTAGTCAATGCCCCCATTACTAGCATTATACGCTAAACAGTTTTTAGAGATAAAACTCTTTACATTCGATTATCATGAAAACAAATCTCAGAGAACGGTTGACTATGTACCAATGTTTTATTAGACCAAAGGTTCATTGTTCGCCAGAGTTCTCCTTTAAGGAATATGTCACAACAATGGGCTTTATGCACAACTGCACTACTTCCTGAACTTAAGCCAGCTCCTTGTTTCCTGTCTGCCATTACTAGCCAAATTTATTAATTCAGGTGTGCCTGGCCTCAGTAGTCACGGCAACAATAATCAGAGACACCTGAATTAATCAAATTGGCCAATAATGGCAGACATGGAACAAGGAGCTGGCTTACGTTCAGGAAGTAGTGCAGCTGTGCATAAAGCCCATTAAAAGAATGAAGAAAATACATTTGACCATTTTGCACTTCACACGTATAGCTAAATGATAGTACGATCATACTGACATCAAGACATTTTACTCTACCTTTTCCCCATTAGAGTTGGTGAGGACAAATGTGGAGAAGATGGGTAAAGGGTAGCGTGTGCTAGGAGCCCAGCACTCAATATTGGCCCCCATAGGCAGGCAAAAGAGGGGTACAGACTCAGAGAGGGGAAATGACTCATAGTCCTCCTCAGGATAACGAAAGATCAGACCTTTAAATGCAAAGTTTTATTAGAAACATTGTGTTTGAATGTGTGGCATGTTTCAAAATTAGGCAAAATTAGGAAGTATCAGCCCAGACAAAACACTGCACAACGTTTTTTAAACAAAAACGGTGATGCGTTGAACACACTCTTCTGATGATGCAAGAGTTACTATTTACTGGGTACTGTTGGCGGTCGAAACGCAAGCCAGATCATGGTTTACCGACCTGAACCGTACTGTACTGTACCGTACCGCTCAGTGGAAACGTGCTATTAATGTTCAAACACCTGAGATCAAAGGAATGAAATAATAAACAAAACAATGGAGGGAAAGAGACAGAGAGAGAGAGACAGAAGCAGAATCAGAAATAGAGGCAGAGATGGAGACTTACCAGCCTTATAAGGGATGGAGTTGGAGGCAGAAACTGACTTCTTGTAGCACAAAAACACACTCGATCCCCACTGAGAATGGGGGAAAAACAGAGAAAGAACAAATGAACTGAATTACATTCATTTAATGTTATGTATATAATACTTTGAGCAAATGTTATACATTACACGGACAGTCTATATATACTATATTCTTTGGCACCAAGTGTCGAGGTGTCCATGAGCAAGTCCCGACGAGCTGGATGGGGCCTTGTATGACTGAAACCCCCGTCGGTGTATAAATTAATGTATGAACGGGTGAGGCAAAATGTAAAGCGCTTTGGTGGCCATTGGGTCTGTGAAAGTGCTATTTAAATGCAGTCCATTTCAGGCATGAAAACAGGTCAGGGGTGAAAAAGGTGAGAAGGATATTACCCCTCTAGGGGGGTTCAGGGGCATGCTCCCCCGTAAGAAAATTTAATTATTCCATATTTTAAAGCATCAATCTCATGCATTTTGAGATGCATTTTTTGCCAACCTGGGGACAGCTGGAGAAACTTAACTTCAGCCATGAGTCAAAAACATTATGGCCTTATTTTAATAATAAAAAAAAAGAACGATACCGATCCGTTACTAACGCAGTTAAAAAAAAAAAAGTAGAATTTCTATAACTGTGTGTTGAACTGATAATCACTCTTTTGTGTGTTAAACATAATCTACAAACCCAATTCCATAAAAGTTGGGACACTGTACAAATTGTGAATAAAAACAGAATGCAATGATGTGGAACTTTCAAATTTCAATATTATATTTAGAATACAACATAGATGACATATCAAATGTTTAAACTGAGAAAATGCATCATTTTAAGGGAAAAATAAGTTGATTTTAAATTTCATGGCATCAACACATCTCAAAAAAGTTGGGACAAGGCCATTTTTACCACTGTGTGGCATCCCCTCTTCTTTTAATAACAGTCTGCAAACGTCTGGGGACTGAGGAGACAAGTTGCTCAAGTTTAGGAATAGGAATGTTGTCCCATTCTTGTCTAATAAAGGCTTCTAGCTGCTCAACTGTCTTAGGTCTTCTTTGTTGCATCTTCCTCTTTATGATGCGCCAAATGTTTTCTTTGGGTGAAAGATCTGGACTGCAGGCTGGCCATTTCAGTACCCGGATCCTTCTTCTACGCAGCCATGATGTTGTAATTGATGCAGTATGTGGTTTGGCATTGTCTTGTTGGAAAATACAAGGTCTTCCCTGAAAGAGACGATGTCTGGATGGGAGCATATGTTGTTCTAGAACTTGGATATACCTTTCAGCATTGATGGTGCCTTTCCAGATGTGTAAGCTGCCCATGCCACACGCACTCATGCAACCCCATACCATCAGAGATGCAGGCTTCTGAACTGAGCGCTGATAACAACTTGGGTTGTCCTTGTCCTCTTTAGTCCGGATGACATGGCGTCCCAGTTTTCCAAAAAGAACTTAAAATTTTGATTCGTCTGACCACAGAACAGTTTTCCACTTTGCTAGAGTCCACTTTAAATGAGCCTTGGCCCAGAGAAAACGCCTGCGCTTCTGGTTCCCGTTTAGATATGGCTTCTTTTTTGACCTATAGATCTTTAGCCGGCAACGGTGAATGGCACGGTGGATTGTGTTCACTGACAATGTTTTCTGGAAGTATTCTTGAGCCCATGTTGCGATTTCCATTACAGTAGCATTCCTGTGTGTGATGCAGTGCCGTCTAAGGGCCCGAAGATCACGGGCATTCAGTATGGTTTTCCGGCCTTGACCCTTATGCACAGAGATTGTTCCAGATTCTCTGAATCTTTGGATGATATTATGCACTGTTGATGATGATAACTTCAAACTCTTTGCAATTTTTCTCTGAGAAACTCCTTTCTGATATTGCTCCACTATTTTTTGCCTCAGCATTGGGGGAATTGGTGATCCTCTGCCCATCTTGATTTCTGAGAGACACTGCCACTCTGAGAGGCTCTTTTTATACCCAATCATGTTGCCAATTGACCTAATAAGTTGCAAATTGGTCCTCCAGCAGTTCCTTATATGTACATTTAACTTTTCTGGTCTCTTATTTCTACCTGTCCCAACTTTTTTGGAATTTGTAGCTCTCATGAAATCCAAAAGGAGCCAATATTTGGCATGGCAATTCAAAATGTCTCACTTTCAACATTTGATATGTCATCTATGTTGTATTCTAAATATAATATTGAAATTTAAAACTTCCACATCATTGCATTCTGTTTTTATTCACAATTTGTACAGTGTCCCAACTTTTATGGAATTGGGTTTGTACTTAATACAGACAACTTCCTTATAAAGAAAAAACAACAACAAAAAATATAGCTGCGAGCAGCGATGGTGGGCCCAAGCCAGTGGCACCGCAACCCCGGTTCCTTTAGTTACTTAAAGGCACCGGGGTGGCGGTGCCGCAGGCTTTGGCCTTTTCATGATTAAATGATTAAATGTTAAAACGGCTTGCCATACTCTATCTGTCGTTTCGACTAGTCACAATTACATTACAGATATCTTAAATGATAATACAAACCATCCAAAATGTAATTATGACTAGTCAGAAAGACGTTGTTGATGTCTACAATGTTAATTCCGGATAGGAAAACTTAGCTTTTAAATGTTAAGAGGGCTTGCCATACAGGGACGTAGGCTCAGATAGAGGCTCACCATATTCAAACCAAAATATCTGACTTCCTCTTGGTCCGAGTTAATGACAATGAATTAGAAAGTTGAAAGTAGAAAGAATATTATGAGTACAAAGAGAAACTGCATCTTCAACAGACCTGTTCTCCCTATACGCAAATTGGTGAGGGTCAAGTGACGTTACTGAGAGGTGATTAGCTACTAGTCGCTCAAAAACTTTCATGATAACAGAGGTTAGGGCCACTGGTCTGAAGTCATTCAAACAATTCACATTCGACTTCTTGGGCACAGGAATGATTACAGCTGATTTGAAGCATGCTGGAACTTTACATACTCTAAGGGACCAATTAAAAATGTCAGTGAAAACATATGACAACTCATCGGCACACCATTTAATAGTGGCAACAGAGACCTGGTCAGGGCCTGATGCCTTCCTACAATTTTGTTTCCTTAACAATGATCTGACCTCTGTTTCTTCTATCAGAAAAGGTGGTTCAAGAAGGCCTGTATCATTGAGGAAATTAGAGCTGACTGCACATTCAGAATTACTTTCAATGTCGGCATGTAGATTTGTTCAGGGCGGGACTCTTGTCAAATGTGTAAATTTTGGTGCACATTTCGAGCCATTTTGCCACGCCCATCTGCGAAACCCACAAAATACGAAAATTTTCACCAACCCTGACATTCGTTCCAAATTTGGTGAGTTTTTGAGCATGTTGTGGCCTCGAAAATGGGGCTTACTTTGCAGGAAAAAATAAATAAATAAAAAAAAATAAATAAATAACCCTAACAGTTTCAATAGGGTCCTCGCACTGTTAGTGCTCGGGCCCTAATAACCCTAACAGTTTCAATAGGGTCCACGCACTGTTAGTGCTTGGGCCCTAAAAAAAAAAAAAAAACCCTAACAGTTTCAAGAGGGTCCTCGGACTGTTAGTGCTCGGGCCCTAAAAAGAATAACCCCAAGGAAAACAATAGGGCCTTCGCCCTTTCAGGGCTTGGGCCCTAATAAATAACCTTAAGGAAAATAATAGGGCCTTCACCCTTTCAGGGCTTGGGCCCTAATAATAATAATAGAAAAGAATAACCCTAAGGAAAACAATAGGGCCTTTGCCCTTTCAGGGCTTGGGCCCCAATAATCCCAAGGAAAACAATAGGGCCTTCGCCCTTTCAGGGCTTGGGCCCTAATAATAAATAATCCTAAGGAAAACAATAGGGCCTTCGCCCTTTCAGGGCTTGGGCCCTAATAATAATCCTAAGGAAAACAATAGGGCCTTCGCCCTTTCAGGGCGTTTGCCCTAATAAATAATCCTAAAGAAAACAATAGGGCTCAACAAATTGTTCAGTTCAGTCAAGTTTACTAATCGTTTTCGTTATCAAATTATACATTCACCTGTTGACATTGCTGAAAGTGAAAGATACATGAACAGTTATGCTAGATAGCACCACAAATGTAACGTTATCATGGTACAAGCATGGAGCATTAGTTCAACATCAAGCTCATAAAAGTAGCCTATTATTGTAACATTGCAGTGGGAGTTTACACGAGTTTGTTGTGTGATGCTTTCTCCGTTGTGTTGAAAGTCCGGCAGTGTGGCCGTGGCCGGTGTCGTGCCAAAAAGTGATGGTCCGCCGAAAATTGATGGCCGGCTGCGGGAGTGTGTGCGGCGTGTTAAAGATGTATCGCCCATTCTCTTTACGAATACAGTTGCTTTTATGTGGATCAAACAGACGTGCATATAAGCATTAGCTTATGTCTGTAGTAAGAGCACTCACCCAGTACTTTTTACCTATTAAAATACTTGTAAAGGGCACTTATGAAAACTTTCTCTCAAATATTTTTTTTTTCTCATGAAATGTTTTTTTTTTGCTATCAGTATGATAAGTTTTTCTCTCAAACATTTCTTTTTTTCTCTCAGATCATTTATTTTCTCACATGTAATAAAGACACAATCCTAGCTCCATACAGGTACAGACACACACTCACATGTTGTCAGCGATGCTCTAAAGAGTTTATCAGTAAAATAGTTTAGCAACTTAAAAGCTACATGATGTTTCTCACCTAGCGAGGTGCAGATAAATGTAATTTCGCTATTAGTAGATGCTAGTAATTCACACGTTTAATCTCTCTCTCTCTCTCTCTACCTCTCAGTGCATTGATAACAAACTATTGCAGTTATTAATTGCTACTAGCTCTAAAATGACATTTTGGAATTAGCAACAGAGGATTGGGATATTCTAATTCTCAGTTTTAAGCTTGAAGATGATATTACACTCAAGGCTGCTTTGAAATGAACATAGGCCTTACTAGCTTACTAGCTTAGGGCTTTCGCCCTTTCAGGGCTTGGGCCCTAATAAGAATCCTCAGGAAAGCAATAGGGCCTTCGCCCATTCAGGGCTTGGGCCCTAATAATAAGAACCCTAAGGAAAACAATAGGGCTCTCTGCCCTTTCAGGGATTGGGCCCTAATAATCCCAAGGAAAACAATAGGGCCTTCGCCCTTTTAGGGCTTGGGCCCTAATAATAATCCTTAGGAAAACAATAGGGCTCTGCGCCCTTTCAGGGCTTGAGCCCTAACAATATGGCCTTCGCCCTTTCAGGGCTTGGGCCCTAATAATCGGAAGGAAAACAATAGGGCTCTGCGCTCTTTCAGGGCTTGGGCCCTAAATATGATCATAACCTATGCCAAAAATGATATTATAAACTAGATTAGTGGGTAACTCAGTAAAATTAAGTCCAAAAAAACAATAATTTTATAAAATCAGAACATTTAGTGAAAAAAAAAATAGTGGAGAACAAAAGAGACAATAAGTGTAGCACTAAATCTGGTAAAACGTTACACATTGCTCTTTGTATTGTTGTAAAATGCATTCATGAAAAACAAGACAAAAATCAAAAAGATCAATTATTTTATAGTCTACTATAAAATTAAGAAAATATACAGTATATAGCACAAATGTATCAGCACAGCTGTTTAATGAGGCAGCAACATATGATAGATAGACAGACAGAACACAACAAATACTATTAATAATTTTTCATTGTGCAAAAGTATTATGATTTGATTATGAAAGACTCCAATTGAGTGCGGCACACAGCGCTTATGCGCATGCTTTCTCGTGAACTTGATAATTTAATATCACTGTCTTAATATATTAAAGCAATGTAAACTAAGCATTTTATTTTATCAACTTTCTATTGTGGAGAATTGCAAAATGTACTATTTTGTTTCATATTATTTTGATCTCAATGCCAACTCACCATGCCACAGTTGAGGTTCTTGTTCACCTTGCAGAAAGTATGAGGAGGAGTCTCGCCCTTGTTTGTGATGATGATGCAGATGTCAGTCACAGCCAGTGAGTTCTGGGGCTGGACAGGGTGAGCTCGGCGGTATGTGATGAATATGCGCTGAGATGTCGCAGAGCTGTTGTTAACATTTGCACAGCGGCCAAACGGTGTGGCCTCAATGACTTCACAACCCTGAATGACACGCTCTTTTCCCTCATACAGGACCCTACAACAAAGAAGAAACACTGATCAGAAATTTAAAGGGTTAGCTCACCCAAAAATTCTTAGACTTTAAGATTTTCCACTGTGGTGAAGTTTATGTTGTTTAGATATCTGTGTAGTGTTTTTAATGTGCTTTATAGGGCTGGAATATTTGGTGGGTTGGTATTCGATTTGAAATATGACATTCGAATATTCGTTTTTTTTGTTGTTGTTTTTTGCACACCTGGCATCCCACTAGAAATGGTTCTCATTCACGCTTGAATATGTTTTACAGTATAAAATCTGGTGAAATATAATACTTAACATAACTTCGTTATAGCTACTTAATAAAAATATTTGCTGCTTCTTGGACTACTAAAAGTGTTCATGCAAGTCGGGAGTATTCTCTGGCTAGAGCGCAGAACAGCGGAGTTTGTATGGACAGAAGTGCATGCCTACGCTTGTATTTTGGGTAAGCTGCATTGCTTTGAAGTTGTGGAAAATAAAATAATAGAAGAAAAATGTATTATCCTTTTTACCCGTTATTATCAATCTAAATTAATGAAACAGCGAGACTTTTAAATTTACTCGGTCGTCAGTCCGTATATCTTTTGGTCATTTGATTTCCTGTTTGGAATGGAATAACGAGAAATGAAAACCAGCTCGTTTATTCGTTTTTTGTTTAGTTTAAAAATACGAAAAAATTGATTTTGGCTCGATTTTTATTTTTCATCTGTGGTTTACAAATTGGTTTATGGATTTGTTATTTCATTAGCACGCGTGGGCGGCGCTGAAAGGCCCCTTTCATCTGATTGGTGTAACCGCTCCGCCTTCAGTACAAGCTTTTCTTTCTGTCAGGCAGAATAAGAGTCAGGAGCGCAGCACTGACAAATGCACTTTCATAAAATAATGTCTGAAACCACCACTCACTGTTAACTACGCACAATATTTGAAGCATGCTGCTGCGACTTGCAAGCGAGCCACAGTATACATATGACAGATTATTTTAGCATGATGTATTTCCCATTGATAAATACGGTGCAAACAGTTCAGTCTCTTTGAATAAAAGGGAAGTGGAAAAAATAGACTGAACTGTACCATGATAAAATATGTCCGTAACATTAGATGTATGTAGATGTCTTGTACAGTGTAAAAATCATTATGTCTAAAGTTCCCATAAAACATGAAAACCCCAAAACCCAATGGGAATATATCCTTGTTGTGTAAAACATCTGTTCAATTGATTACACAATTCCAATTCAAATAGCAGCGGGAGGCGTCTGGAAGAACCATGCTGATCAATCCGGATTTTTAAGCCAGCTAATTTGACAGTCGGCTAATATTTCTGAATCAATCAATCAATCAATCAATCAATCAATCAATCAATCAATCAATCAATCAATCAATCAATCAATCAATCTATCAATCTATCAATCAATCTATCTATCCATCTATCTATCTATCTATCTATCTATCTATCTATCTATCTATCTATCTATCTATCTATCTATCTATCTATCTATCTATCTATCTATCTATCTATCTATCTATCTATCTATCTTTCTTTCATTTATATAGCACTATTAAAACACAACCATGGTTGAACCAAAGTGCTTTACATATAAACTATAAAAAAAATAAATGAATGCAAGAACACACATTAATCAATAAATCGACAGCATGTTAAACATCACATCTACTTTTTGTAGGCTACTGACAGTAAGTGCAACTTCAACAAATTCTTAAACAATGGCAGCGATTTCGCAGAGATCTAATAGGTAGAGGCAACTCATTCCACCATCTCGGTCCTATTACTGCAAAAGCCCGGTCGCCTTTATGCAGGCGGTTTGTTCTGGGCACTTTAGTAGGGCACTAGTAGTTTGTGATTCTCTTAGCGTAGTGATCTAGAGGGTTTGTATGGTGTTAAGAGGTTTGTCAGATATGGTGGATCCTGGTTGTTTAGTGATTTGTATACAGTTAGTAATATTTGAGACCTAATTCTAAGGTGGACCGGAAGCCAATTCAAAGACGCTAATACAGGTGTAATTGATTAATATTTCTTTACTCTCATTAAAATCCTTGCAGCGACATTTTGCACTGATTGCAATCGTGATGAAGAATATCCTTCTCGAATAACATACAAATGGGCTTCCTTTGTGAAAAATAGCAGACCAACTGTTATTTAAGATATATTTGTGCATGAATGTTTGCATTTAAGTTTTTATTTCATATAGCCAGTCCCAACAGACAGACAGACTAGTGAACTATCCCTTTAACTATCAGAAATGCACATTTAAAGAGACAGAATGCAGCAGAATGGATTCTGATTGGCTGTCAATGTGGAATGTGGAAAAGATAATTCTGAAAGTGATCCCAACTATATTTATTTGTGCCAGTGTGCTGTTATCGTTATAGTTTGGGGATATTCAAATTAAATGACCCATCATAACATTGATCAGCTCTACCAAACTTGATTGTCTTTTTTTCATGAATAAACAAACACTGTTATGTTGTCTTGATTGATACTGTGAAGCAGCTTTGATACAATCTGTATTGTGAAAAGCGCTATATAAATATATTTGACTTGACTTGACTTAGTTGTGATGTGGACTCTGCTATTCTTTCATATTTAGAAAGATTATATCTTTATCATTATAGTTATCATACTTGATGTTAAACGGCCTTTAACTCTAGCATAACTTTTCTTGTGATGCGCCAATATTTTGACATAATTTTCTGTTCTTATTAAGAGTTGAACCACAAAAAACAAAACAAAAAAACTTGCCTTTATACTGAATAACAGCAGTGTACAATCATGACACTGCAACCTGAAGTTTAATTTGTCCTTGAGATGTTTTTTTTAGTTTGACGATAGTTCATAACTCTATTGAAAGTCCATTTCCTCAAAACTGTTTTAAAAAGTTCATAGACAGACAGATTAGCCTTATGTAAGTGCATTGATCAATGTTTATATGTGAATAAAAGCCTAAATTAAATCTGTTCATCGCATTCAATTCCATGTTTTTGCTGAAAACCTGCTGTTAAAATATAGCCTATAGCTAGAAAAAACATGCTATATTTTCATTTCATTGATTAAAAAGATTTACTTAGAAAGATTTAAAATGACTCAAAGTTAAAATAATAAGTTCTTTTTTATATTCAGAAGCTTTAAGCCATGTTCATTTAACTGTCCTTTAAAAAAAATATGGTAATTTGCTGTAGCACCATAGTAGCCTACTGAATAATAGGTGGTGTGGTGTTCAGGCACACTCTCTCTGGACTCCAGAGAGCCCAAATGGGATATGGAGTATAGATTTAAAAGCTTTAACACAGTAAGTGCCATAAAATACCATACTAGTAAGTGCATTACATCATATTGATATTTAATAGTGTGGCATGGTGAGCAAAGACAATATACAATGGGTGTTGAGTCATGCCTTGGAGTGTGTGGTTTTTTTTTTTTTTTCAAATCACAATGATCATATGGGGGATTTGAGTGATAAATAAAAGGGGAAATGGTGTCCTTGCTTGTCATGGTGAGGATCATGGAGGGTAATGATTCAGGCAGGGGTGGGACTTACGGTGGTGATGTAGTAAGCTATATCCATAACAAAGTGAAGACCTTGAGCTGAATTTTAAAACTCAATGTCAGCTGATGCTGAATGGAGACCACAAATAGATTTGAATGCATGTGGCCCACTTCTGTTTTTCAGCTATGGATATGGGATAGGTTGATCATGGCACTAACTAGAGAAATGGAGTGTAAAAATAAATAAATAAAATAAAAAGAGAATTCATGTAATTCATATACGATGAAGAGTAAAGATACAGAAAGTAATTGTTTAAACTGAATGAACTAAATTAAATAAATTTTTAACAATTAACCTAAATAAAATTATGTTTTAGTACTTGAGACTGATTACATGATTGTGACAAGGATTTTCAACGAGCCTGGATGGTCTTGATTCAAACAGATCATGCAGACACCCAATGCTCTTGGAATAATAAGAATTACTATTATGGCATCCACACTAAACAAAGTAAAGTCATAAAAACCTGCTTTGGTTGACTTCATGTTTGACTTCTGTTTACATAATAATCGGTTCAAGGGTACAGATACACAGAGGGACAGCCATTCACCCTAAAAACTCACCCAACATCAATGAGTGGGGGCTTTCCATGACCCCTCTTGTAACACAAGAAGAGTTCTGGGCTCTTGAGACTGCCATGGTTAAGATTGGCCGGCTGGCCGCTGTAGGTGCTCTCAATGCATGTGAAACCTTCAGGCACAGTTTCTCCTGCAGACTTGTTGATGACAGCCAGGTCTGTGATAGGTGCCTTGGGTCCACTGGACTTGGTTTCAGATAGATCCTGCTCTAGTGGAGTAGACTTGTCTGTGAGGCCAGCTACAACGAAGTAGTCCGTCACGCGGTGACCCTTATCCTCAATCATGGCTGGGCAGACCTGTTTGGAGAGAAGCAACTGCTGATTTTGTGCATTTATAGGTTTTGGAACTTTTGGGCACTTGTGAATATGTAGAAAGGTATGTTGTTAAAGCTAAGTTCACACTACAGGATTTTAAGCCCGATTTATGCCCGATTAGCAAATCGTTATCGCGTGCAAATCGCGGGGGATTAGCGGACGATGAACGCTTGCCAATCTGTTAGTATGAAAGAGCCAACAACGCAGCGAAAACACTCGCAGACGCCTCGCAGACACGTCGCCGAGCCCAGAAAAATATCTAGCCTGCTAGATATAGCCTTGTTCACAACTACATGCTTTTAAAACGTCGGGCTGAACTGTGTGGTTCACACTACATGACTTGCTCTCAGTTCAGACTTGTCTGACTGTACATGAGTCCTCCTCACATATTAAAACAATCACTGATCATCACAGATTAGACATTAGAATTATTAACACAGTTACTTACATATCACAGCATTACTACTATTGAGGGTCCATATCTTTCCTGAAAAGTCTGCAAAGTATGTGAAGAATTGCAGCTTGTTTGACAAAGTATACACAGCAAAATGAATGAAACAAACAAATAAAGCCGTACACATTTTTAAGCCCTACTGTTCTAGTAGTTCTTTCTGTTTTCAATATAATACAGCAGTGGGTTGGGGGGCAATGATATAAATGATTTGATCTGTGCACACAAGTCTTGTGCTGATATATTCCTCTCTATTAGGTAATAAAAGCCAGAAAATAAGAAATTAGTCAGTTTGGCAACTTAGTTTAAAAAATATTTGGACTAACAAATTAGTTTTAAGTTCTGAAACTTATGGTATGTTTTTATAGTAAAATTACTTCTTGTATGTAAAAAGATAAAGGAAAACTTGATTTCTCAGTTTATCAGTTCATGACTTCTTTAAGTCTGGCTCTTTTATAAAAAGACAAAAGAGGGTTTATTTTTAAGTAAACCTGAACCCAAGACGCGCAAAACAAAATACACAACCTTGTACCAACAAGCAGCCCTTCTACATGCTTATCAATCGACCAATCAGTATCACGTGAGGGCGGGCCTATCTGCATGTTACGTCATCAACTTTCGACTAGTACATGGCTGAGCAGAGGTAAGTGCAGTTACTTGTTCATTTCTGAAGATTTGCACATTGAAATTCAAGGACACTCTCGTACGTTTTAAACATTCAAAGGTTTTTGTGCACAGTTGTATATCTACGAATTGTTTTGCATTTGTGAATTGTTTTTATGAATATGTAACTTTATTTTGCGCATGTGAATTGCTTTTTGTGAATATATTTTTTTTCCACGCACATGAATTTTTTTTGTATACGTGAATTAGGTTTTTTTGTGTGTACGTGAATTGTGAAATTGTCTACGCACGTGTGAATCATGTTTCTTGCATGAATTATATTTGAGACTATTCTGCTTCCATTGAGCCTTTGTAAAAATTATGTGAACTCTTAGCCATACCGAGCTGTGGATGGCTCAAAATAATATATTTTTAATGTTCTTGACATGACTGTATACAAGCGCCACTGTTTTATTAACGCTTACTGTACAAAGGCTCACCCCTAAAACCCCAAACCTTGTGAACCAGAAGATCCAATCTAACATAACTCCAACCAGCAACCAATCAAAACACCCTAGCAGCCATCTAGAATACCATAGAAACTGCAAGTAAAACTGAACACCACAACTACAAATGTTTTTTGCCTTTATTTTTCAAAACGTTATGAACCTCGTTTGAGCAACCAATTTATATCACTAAAATATCAGTATTATTTATAAAGAAAATGTGTCTATTTTTAACTATTTAAAAATGTTACTGTGGCTCATGGGAGTGTGTAAAATTCTTACCTTGAAAAAAACAAAGTGCACAGTTTCGAAAGTTTAGGAACCACTACTCTAGAGGGTTTACTAAATCTATAATCTCCAATCCCAGCGAACTCAAGGCACCTCACTAATGAGATGTTACATGGTTACCTGCCATGTAGAAGTAGCTTACAGAAAACTAATTACAGGTACAGCCTACCCTAAGCATCCTGAGGTTAAACGCAATGCTTCAGGGCACAACAATTATAAAACAAGATTAAAAAGCTCCTGAGGTGCTCCTATCCAATACTGATTCTGTAAACTTCACATCGGGGCTACACAATTTTGTCAAAAATATGTTCTTTACTTTTTTTTTTGTGTGTGACAAATAGTATGATAGCTGAATACTGTGATTTGAACTTTATATACCGGTAATAGTACCAAACAATATGGCAAGCAATATATTGTGTCTCCAAATTAAATCATTTTTTGTCTGATAACAGGGCTGAAATAATTAGTCAACATTATCGACAACGTCAAAAAGTAATTTCATACAACTAAATTTTGAAAAAACAGGTTTTAATAATTTAAGTACCAAAAACCTCAGCACGTAATAACCTAGAATACTGTTTAACACTTGATGGCTGCTCTGACAAGTCAGTTAGGAACCTGGGTGTGACATTTGATAGCAATCTTTCATTTGAAAGCCACATTTCGATATGTAAAACAACATTTTTTTCCATCTTAAGATACACTGCTAAACAAATTAAGGGAATACTTAATCATAACACCAAGTCAATTAAAGGGTTAGTTCACCCAAAAATGAAAATTAAGTCATTAATTACTCACCCCCATGCTGTACCAACCCCGTAAGACCTTCGTTCGTCTTCGGAACACAAATGAAGATATTTTTGATTAAATTTGAGAGCTGTATAACTACCACATTGGCTCCTAAAGGACTGCCTCTTGACGGCCCAGAAAGTCAATGAAGAAAATGTTTAAATATCCCAAGTGACTACCGTGGCTCAACTATATGTTTATCAAGCGACGCGAATACTTTTTGTGCGAAAAAACAAACAAAAATAACGAGTTTATTCGACTATTTCTTTTCTTCCTTGTAGGCCAGAACGAGACTTCCTTAGATTTCCACGACGCATGCGCGAGATTTGCGATCTGCTCACACCAGCTTACACTACTTCAGATCGCAATTCTCGCGCATGCGTCGTGGAAATCTAAGGAAGTCTCG